CTCCAGCAGGAGGCGAAATGTCAGGCCACTTCTTCATTTTTACTGCAGTGCTTGCAAGGTGGGCTGATGTGGAAGCACAATACTGACTTTGGATAATTCCTTTTTTTTTTTTTCCAGTCCTAAATATTGACACCTACTCACCAGGTTTGGGACTAGAAAAAATGACATGGATTTCTAGAGTGAGTAATTATTTCCCCAGGCCACCATTCCCTGGCTGTTCGCAAATGCAGAAAATGCTGAGTCAGTGTTGCTCAGCACCTGCCAAGGGCAAGGACCAGTTTTGTGTCTCTTACGGCTGCAGTGTGGCACCTCACCACCAAGGTAGGAAGCGTGGAGTCCCTCCAATAATTGATACAGCCATACAATCCAAGACAAAACCAAGTAATCCATACAAGATGCAGGAATATATAATCTAATAAGGCCTAGAGAGCCAGCGTTAGACAGGTCTTTATATTTTCAGTGTACTTTACATGTGGATTTCTAAACTTTTCTGTATGAAAATTCTAATTTCAAACTATCTTACCCTTTTAATTTATTCAAACATTCCAACCCCATTCACAATCCCAGAATTTCAGTAGCTAAGATAGCTAAAAACAAAGTATGCAGGTACTGCCCTCGAGAGGAAAATAGCCCAAATGCCCTCTCATAAACACAAACTCAAATATGCTTATACAGCTGGGAGAAAAACCCCAATGTGTCTCTATAACACTGAGCACATTAGAATAGACTCTGTGATGAAAGGTGAGAATTTAATCCACAGAACGCCAGTCCAGAGCCCTGTGTTGATTAGGAAAGCCATTCCAGGTCTCCACATTTGCAACCTCACCACAGCTGCTATGGTTTGGATGCAGTTTGTCCCCTAAAGGTTCATGGCCTGGAAGCTTGTTCCCATGTGCTGTTCAAGTGGTGCAGTCTTTAAGGGGTAGGACCTAAAGCCATGCACAATGGCACAGGCCTGTAATCCCAACACTTGGGAGGCTGAGGCAGGAGGATTTTAAGTTCAAGGCCAGCCTGGGCTACTTAGGGAGACCCTGTCTCAAAGAAGAAAAAAAAAAGAGGTAGGTGGGAACCTTGTGGAAGGTTAGGTAACAGGGGCTGCATCCCCATGAATGAATTATGGGTCTCACAGGAGTTAGTTCTCATGAAAGTGGGTTGTTACATAGCAAGACCACCATCTGTACTTGGCCTCTTTTGCATGCGGCCATTTCCCTTTCTACTCCACAATGTTATAGAGCCAAGAGGGTCCTTGCCAGGATGCTGGCACCATGCTGTCTGCATCGTCCAGCCACAGAATCATGAATCAAATAAGCCTTTTAACCTATAAAACATCCAAGCTCAAGCATTTTTTTAAAATAGCAACACAAAACTATGCTTGCAGGTCAAATTGTAAACTTTAAATGCTAGTGCTCCAATATCATGGCCTTTTAGCTCCAGGCTCTTCAATCTACTTACCAGCATTCTTGGGTGATACTTCCTTATTTCTGATTTGCTCCTCTCCTCTTGCTATGGAGTAAAAGTGACTAAAGGACACCATTCATATTAAGAAAATGTGGTATCTATACACAATGGAATTTTATGCAGCCATGAAGAAGAACGAAATGTTATCATTCGCTGGTAAATGGATGGAATTGGAGAACATCATACTGAGTGAGGTTAGCCTGGCCCAAAAGACCAAAAATCATATGTTCTCCCTCATATGTGGACATCAGATCAAGGGCAAACACAACAAGGGGATTGGACTTTGAGCACATGATAAAAGCGAGAGCACACAAGGGAGGTATGAGGATAGGTAAGACACCTAAAAAACTAGCTAGCATTTGTTGCCCTTAACGCAGAGAAACTAAAGCAGATACCTTAAAGCAACTGAGGCCAATAGGAAAAGGGGAACAGGTACTAGAGAAAAGGTTAGATCAAAAAGAATTAACCTAGAAGGTAACACCCAAGCACAGGAAATCAATGTGAGTCAATGCCCTGTATAGCTATCCTTATCTCAACCAGCAAAAACCCTTGTTCCTTCCTATTATTGCTTATACTCTCTCTACAACAAAATTAGAAATAAGGGCAAAATAGTTTCTGCTGGGTATTGAGGGGGCAGGGGGGAGAGGGAGGGGGCGGAGTGGGTGGTAAGGGAGGGGGTGGGGGCAGGGGGGAGAAATGAACCAAGCCTTGTATGCACATATGAATAATAAAAGAAAAATGAAAAAAAAAAAAAGGACACCATTCATGACATGCACGACAAGAACCTCTTCTCCCTGCTTGCCTAAAATCAGCAAGTACACCCCAACAAGACTGAGCCCTGGAGGGCAAACTTGAAGTGAAATCCCACAAACACACATGGTTCTATTCAAGCTATAAGCTTTGATTATGTTTTACAGATCATTCCTCCAGGACGTGCTGTACCTGCGGTTGACATTGTCTCGTTTTTCAAATGACCAAATACATATGAAAATCTCTTGCCCATGCTAGATGCTAGTGTGCCCAGAGAAGAGATCTCGCTAAGGGCAGCCTGCATGGGGTCTGGCCAGACACAGCAGTGCTATCTGTCCTCGTTTCTGAGCTGCCACATACTCAATGGAGTGAGGTGGGGCAAGAATGACATTTAGCCTGGAATTTAAGTTTCTAATTTTATACTTCTGATTATAGCTTGGTTCATTTTTATAGTCTACTTCAAAAGTGAAAGGTCACCCACTCACTCTTAATATAATCATTTTGAATAAAGGGAATTTGTCATGTGCATGATGTACTTCAAACCACAAAGCAAGCAGGCTTCAATATGATGACTCAGGAGAAGCTGGAAAATTGGCCCATTTCTCCACTCTGGCACCCTGCTTGATTTTCCCCATCAACTATTCCAGCTCAGAAAATAAGAGCTTCTCCTTTCAGACAGATATAAAGGGTGGTCTTAAGCTGGGAGTTGGAACTGAGGTCTCCCTCTTTCATCTTGCTGAGGCGGGGAATCACTGGCATAAACAATTAAAAGGCTCACTAAAGTCTGTGCTTCCAGAAAGAATTAAAACCAGTAAAACAAAACGCAAAAATATACTGAAGGGGTTCAACTAAAGCCTATCACCTATTCTGCTAATATCAAAATCTCTGATATTTTACAAGCTTTCCATTATCTTTCTAACACAATCACATGTGAAACTTCCCTTTCCCAAAGATCCTGATCCTAGACAAAGGTGGATAAGAGCTGTGGCGTCTAAAGCTATCCAAACATAACACAGTTAACTAAATGTTTGTGGAGTTCATTACTTTAACTCCCATCTGCATACAGAGACTGATGAAACTAGAGTTGGTAAGGGGACTCAGATCCACAGAGAAGCCCTCAGGATGCACACCTTGATTAAGGGTACCGCTCATAAAAACAGAACAATTTGGAACCTTCTTATCAGACATTTAGAAAACATGCCAATAACAAGAAATGAGATGACTTCAATGTAACAGTCTAACCTGTGGGCAATGAATCTGTATGTCCTCAAAAGGTCTTTACTTTTTCCCCGGGAAGGAGAGAGCTAAGAAAAAAATAAAACACAGGCAGAGGCAGGGCAAAATCAGCATAGAACAGCTAAAGACAGAGAGCCAAGAATTCAACCCAGAACTCAAAACAGAGGCCTTGACATTTTAAGCCAGTATAAGCTGTTTAAAATCTGGACCCCAGAACTTCTCATATTAAAGAGATGTATTCCTCATAATCTCTCTCCATATGAGTTCAATGTGGGGCAGAGGAGTCCTGCATAGGTAGATGGACAAGGTCACAGTCCACGTTGTAGCCAAGTATTAAAGGAACGCCTGCAGTGACCAGGCAGGAGAGTTGAAGGATGGAGCAGCCTGGCTGCAAGTTCATACTCAACTAATCCACTGTGACCAAGTGGGCACCTGGGGGAGAGAGGCATTTCAGTGGAGAAAGAGAACACCCCAATGGGACCTGCCAGAATGAGTTTCCAGGGAGTTAGGGCTCAGCTCAGTGGTACAGTAGTTGTCCAACATGCATGAGGCCCTGGGTTCACAGAATGAGCCTATGATAAATGAGCTTTTTATAGCAAAACCACCCTTGAAATCAGCTTCGGGATGGGGACTGCCCTTTTTATAACAAGTAAATTGGAAGAAGTCATATATTAATGTCCTTCCAGATAAAAAAACTGATACTTTATTATAACATTTTAATTGCAGAATTCCAGTCTAAATATCAGAAACACACAATTACTGATTCTGGTGCTATCTTCCACACCCTTTCAAAATTTGACCAATGATTTATGTATGCCTCAGAGAATTTTCTAGTTCAACCCCACACACCAATGTGAAATAGAAGGAAATGCTAGTCTTCTAGCTTTACCCAAACTTCCAAAGTGCTACAATAGCTAGAACATTCACTGTAGAAGGTCGTTTATTGCTGAGTTAGAACAACAACACTGTAGGCAGAGTTCTGGGTGTGTTAAAATGTGAATCGGTGTCCTGCATGCAGGCTTTGTTCTCTTTCTTTTCTTCCTACAAGGGACGTATTACATGTAATAAAAATGTATCTTCAGATGAAACCACATTTAATGCAGATGAGCAATGATAAATCCCTATTGTTACTGAGTTTACAATGGAGAAATCTCAACTCTGGGTTATAACTCAAAATCATTATTATTTCAAGGTTAAGGAAACAAATTAGTTGGCTAGCTAGGAAATGCTTGATTCTTTCTAAAACCATAATTCAATGTGGACCTTTACTTCTTGCCGTATCCCAAGACAAAAATCAGGTAACCTATATTTCCCACACAACGCTCAGAACATGCCTTCCTGTCTCCCTCTGTGCTGAGAAATGACTCCAGAATCTGGACATGTTACATTCATGGCTTGGGTTACTTGGTGCTCTAGTAACAACTGTCCCAACACCCAAAGATGATCCACTATTTCTTTTTCCTTTTTTGGTAGGACTGGGGTTTGAACTGGGGTTTGCACTTACAAAGCAGGTACTCTATTGTTGAGCCACACATCCAGTCCATTTTGCTCTGGTTATTTTGGAGATGGGGTCCTGTAAACTGTTTGCCTGGGCTGGCCTTGAACCTCCATCCTCCTGATCTCAGCCTCCCAGGTAGCTAGGATCACAGGCGTGAGCTGGGACACTCTGATAGTGAGGATCACTACACTAACGCACTCAGACAAGAGGGACATGATAGTAAAGCCAACAGTCTTTTCAAATATCACTATCATCTTTAAAACCCATATGCCTTTTTTTTTCTAATTAGAAAATCAGGAATGGCCTGTATTGCCCACCAACACATTCTTCATTAACAGATGCGAAGATATTTTAGGACTATGAAAAGCATTTCAAGGTATCTGTTTTCAGGGATAGACCACAGTCACAGAAATACTTTTCAGAGTTGGTTCATTCTAAAGTCTATCTCACAAACAAAGGCATCAGCTTTCATGAGGTACCAAGATGTGTTCTGCCAAAAATATTTTTGCTTTCATAAAGCTATATGTCTCCAAGTTCAACTATATTATATATATTATCTGTTCCTTTTCTTCAGCAAAAACAGGAACGTTCTGTTTAAACTCCAAAATGAGTAATAGTGATGTAGAATGCAGGCAGAATTGAGGTTGGTTGTTTTTATAGTTCACAACACGGATGAAATGAAAAGGTCTGCAACTGTCCTACATCACATCTTTCAAAGGTCCTTCTCTCCTTTCACATGAATTCATCCGAATCATTGCCATCCTGTAGGAAACAAAAAATGAAATCATAAGCCTTGCAAGTTTACAATTATAATCTTAACTAATAAGCCTCCTTCTCATCCTAATTTCAGGGTTTGATAAGTAAAAAGTAAAATAACTGAAGTCACTCTTTATTTCACTCTATCAGTTCCCTGGACTAGCCACAGGTATCACCACCTGGCCTGATTCACAGCAAGTTCCCATGACTTCCTGGCCTGGTACGGGATGTAACAAGTGACTACAATAAGACAAGATTTTGCATAAAAGCAGCTAAAAAATCTATTCATTTAGCATGAACTCCTATTTTTAAAAATGAGTAAATATGTGATATTTGAGCCAGCACAAAGGCCAAGTTCAATCACTGAAAGAGTAAGTAACTCTGTGGATTACAGATATGTTAATATTCTTCACTACCATGATGTATACCTTAAATAAGACACAATTTTTTTAAAAAGAAAACATGATTGCTCCTTCAACAAATATACTAAACACTGCTTAAAAACCTTTATGTCAAAAACTTTACCACTAGACAAAATACTTGTAGACTAAATTCTAGTTGTCTATTTTATTTTATGTTATTTATATTTCCGTGTGTGGTACTGGGGTTTCAACTGGCAACTTTGCGCTTGCCAGACACTCTACCACTTGAGCCATGCTACCAGCCCTAAATTCTAGTATTTTGAGTCTTGAGATTGTGTTAGGTTCACTATTTCACAAGATAGCTTTGAGGTTTGCTATCTCCCCACCTCTTTTAATAGGAAACGTAGCTCCAGGCTCCTCTGGCCACCATTCACTAACAGTGTGCTGCATTCTAGTACAGCAGCTTGGCAATGTCATTGTCTGACATGGCTTGATTTTATCTTGTATCTCTTTCTTATTGCTTGACACCGCATTGTCATAGATAGGGACAGGACTTGGGCTTATACGTGTGTTTCTCCTCCTTAATTAAGAGATGGGAGGAAGCACAAGATATGGGTAGAAAACAGTGGTTTCCATGGAGTCTGGTTTTACCTCCAATTTCATTCAGTGGCTTTCCCTGCTTCTCTTCCATTAGCATAAATAATTGGAGCCACTGTAAACGTGCTTCAGATAACTTAGAAGGAGCTGACGAATGCCAATCCAGGTATTAGGAATGACTGCCCCAGAGCCCTAAACTTAAGCTATAGCATTAGCAATGACTGAAAGAGTCACCATACAATGCAATAAGAGAATGTGGGGCCAGTCACCATGAAAGTATAGTATTCCCTACACAGCTGAGTTAGATGTGCAGAGTACCCATGTGCCTAAGAGCCTGTGTTCTGGGATCAAAGAAACTTTTACATACATATCTGAGATCCAAGACTTTATTTGAACAAATTTTCCATTTTAGATTCCTTTTACTTTGAATCCATATGCTTTTTGATTTAACGTGATAAATTGATAAGCAAAAGGAATGTTAAAATTGTTTATGATCCCAATACCAAATTTACAAAGATTAAAAAGACTGCACTAAATAGAAGACCAAAGCTGGGCACCGGTAACTAACGCCTGTAATCCTAGCTACTCAAAAGGCAAAGATCAAAAGGATTGCAGTTTGAAGTCAGCCTAGGCAAATATTTCCAGGAGACCCTATCTAGAAAAAACCCTTCACAAAAAAGGTCCGGTGAAGTGGCTCAAGGTGTAGGCCCTGAGTTTAAGCTCCAGTACCTTTAAAAAAAAAAAAAAAAAAAAAGGCCAAAAATTCAAAATTAAAACCAACTGCAGAGTGAAAGACCAACTTCTTCCTGATGAAGTTATATGTGCTAAATTAAAATTCAGGACCTATTATACTAATCATCAGCCTTTAAATGAAAACCATGCTGCCAAGTCAGATTATAAAAGGCCTATATCCTTGAACTGAAAATGTTATGAGAATTAGAGCCCACCCTCTTGAAGTATGGGGGAAAGCTATAAAAGCCCTTCTACTGAAAGAAGATAAAAATACCCAGCACAAAACTTCCTTGGGAACTTAAACCTGATTCAAAACCTGGAGTTCAGATATGGAGAGGTAGGAAGCCACAGAAAGGAAGGCAGAGAGCTACCAATCTTTTGGTCTACAAATTCCATTCCCTAGTCCTGGAACTCTTAACATTTATCACTAATTGGTTAGCATTTGTGTACAGGTGGCCTCTGTATCTGTGGGTTCCATGTCTACAGATTCAACCAAGTTCAGATGACAAATACACTTAAAAAATTATCAGTACTGAATATGCACAAATTTTCTTTCTGTCATTATTCCTTAAATAATACAATATAATAACCATTCACACAGTATTTACATTGTGTTAGGAACAGGTAATCTAGAGATTATTTAGAGGTGGGGCCTAATAGAAGGAACTAAGATAACTGGGGGGCATGCCCCTGAAGGGGTATCAGGACCTCTTGATCCTTCCTCTCTTTTCTCTTGTGCTCCTGGCCACAGTGAGGTGGGCATCTTGCTCCACCATTGCTTCTGCCACAATGTGCTGCTTCACCACAGGTCAAAAAGCAATAGGGCCAACCAACCACAGCCTGAAACCTTCAAAACTGTGAGTCAGAACAAACCTTTCTTTTTCTTTTTTTTAAGTTGCTTATCTCAGGTATTTTGTTGTAGCAACAGAAAACTAACACATCCTACAGTATTAATAGACCTACATTTCACACTAGACTATGACAATCTTCTTGTATTAGGTTACTTACTTAGAAACAAACACATGTGAAAGTCCACAGGGCAGCAGGGCAGTGCCTAACTGCCAAGTTAATCAGCTGTCAATCATTGTAAGCAATAAGCAAAATCTTAATAGCCCGTAACACAATTATTGAAAATTCTTAGTGAATTACTTCAAGGCTCAACATTATAGCAAACAAATTGAGCATACCTGATTTGAAGACATATTTTCAACTTTCATTAGTGATGAATAGCTCCTAGAAGAAAAGAAATTATTCAAAATAAAGTTATACAATCAACAAGCATTTCATGAGTTTTATAACCTCCCAGGCTTAAGGATCACTGGGCCAGAATCCCCACAAAATTGCCTTTCTGTAGGTCATGCTTCCTCTGAGTTCTATCCATTAAACTAAGGGCCTCTCTGACATCTCTTTAGATGCCTTAAAAAGTATTTTCAGATTTTTAGTTTATATCAAACTCATATTTTATCCCCCTACCAAAACCGATTCCTTTCCACTGTTCCCTAGCTCAATGGATGACATCATTTGTCCATTCCACTTCAACCCCTCCCTTATCAAGTTACTATAAAATCCTATTATTTTCCTCTCTCTCTGGTATTCTTTCCTCTACCGCCATCTTACCACCAAAGTCCAAGCCACAACATCATGACATGGACAAGTGCTAATAACTTCTTAACTGGCTCATCTGTACCCACTCTGTCTCCCTTTACAATCAGGCTGGCAAAGTGACCCTACCAAACCTTACAAACCTCTTTGTATTTCACCTTTCATGAAACCTTTCAATGACACCATGGTGCACTTAGGGTGACAAACACGACCAAAAGGCCCTGGCATGGACTGGCCCCTTGCTCCATGTTCTGCCTCATTCCTGATGCTCAGGACATTTGGGACTTTGGTTCCTTCTGCTCCCTTTAACTAGTTAACAGAGTTCTGATCTTGACTTTAATAATTATTGTATCAGGGAAGTTACTTGTTCATTCATGATACAGTGACTCACTGTATATGCAAAGCACTGTCATGTATGTACAAGGGAATGCAGGGATGCACCAGTGCTTCTCTGAAGGAGGGTGTAATAGGAAGAGGCCCAGCATACAGAGCACTACTGAAAGCAGGAGGCAGTAGCAGCATGTGTGAGATAATAAAAAGAGATAAAGCAAAGCACTCATTTCTTCAAGAGACTAGATAATCCTTTCAATGGCCTCAACGTTACCTCTTCTATATGTTCTTACTGAACTCATTCAAGTCCACTCCTTCTCCATTTCCCATGAAACCTATAAAGACTCCTCATCATACAACATAAAATTTTAAGGCACTCTACAATACATTTCACTTTTCATTGTTTTACTTGCTCATGTATAACTCTGTTTTGGCTTTCCAACCTGTTCATCTTTTGCCTAAAAGACAACATGGTACAGAATGAACTTCAGAATTATAGACTTAAGTTTGAATTTCATTCACACATTCATCTTCTTGATGAAGTAGTCTCTGCTGAAAACAAAGTTCAGGCCACTGTTCAAACTGGTGCACATCACCCTGTGACTGACCAGTTTGCCTAGGTACTGCACTTCTCTCCAGTTACCTGAGCTTCAGGTGCCAACTATGACCTCCCAAACTCCGCAGTGCTAAACATCCCTATCTTAGGTTGCCATAACCCCATGCTTTTGTCACAGCTGCGTCACCTCTGCTCTGTTACTCATTCATGTTCCATTAACTACAGCTCCCTAACTAGTGCTTCTTTCTTTTAGTCCTGGGATCTACACACTGAGCTTGATTTTCATGTTCATAAATGTTTGGCACAAAAAAACAAAAAGTCAAATAAGAAAATGCAAGATTAAAATAAAGCAAGTAACAGGCACAGAATTTGATCTCGTAGCCAGAAGATTTAAAGACAGAAATTAAAGTGATGTTGGACTGAAAGTGTGGTTCAAGTGGTAGAGCGCCTGCTTTGCAAGTGTAAAACCTTAAGTTCAAACCCCAGTCCCACCAAAAAAATGAAACAAAACAAAAAAACTGATGGTAGCACTACAAGTGTATTAAACAGATTATAAAACAATCAGAAGTTTAGAGCCTGCTGCTGGAATTTCAGAAAAGCTGAGGAAAACAGTGTGCAAAGAGCACCTCTGGAGATGCTCAGTGGATTCCTGCTTTGTCACCATATCCCATTCCTGAACTGTGGCCCTGCCTCGGCAGGCACTCCTACCTTTGCAGCATGGGATAAAAGTTGTTTGTGTGGCATGTGTTTAACAGAAACAAACACATCAATTGATTTTGGCTTTCTGATGACTATAAAAAACATCAGTGACTAAGTGAAAATAGGACTAAACTTCTTTTATTATAATTATTCTATTTTGTTATTAGTTACTATTGTTAAGCTCCTGTGTCTAACTTTTTTTCTTATATTAATGTTGTACTGGAATACACTGTGACGTTTACAACAGTTCTAACAATATATCATAGTTAAATTTGCCCTCTCCATCATTCTTCATTATCCCCCAACCCCCTATACATGGAACAGTTTCATAGGTCTCATTTTTCCATTTTCATACATGAGTACATATTTCCTCCATATTCACCTCCCACACCCTTTCCTATGTCCTCCCCGCCCCCTCCACTGGACAAACTTTTTTTCTTTTCTTTTTTTAAATGAGGTACTAGGGTTTGAATTCAGAGCCTCTGGTAGGGGCTCTACCATTTGAGCTATATTCCTAGTCCTAGACAAACTTCTGAAGTACACATTTTAGTAAGATTGAGAATTCTTTCCCCTCAGTTCACATAAATATTTTAAATATTGTTGATGTTATGAAAGTAAGGCCAAAAGACAGGAAAATTATTTTAGCTGATGGGGTCTTCCAGTTAAATGCTTGCAACTTTTGAAACAAATAATATCATAACAAGTGCCCTAAATGTTAGTAGCATATAGCTCAATTCAAAACAAAAAAATGGGACTGGCTGAGCAGCAAGTGGTAGTGTACCTGCTTAGCAAATATAAGACTAAGTTCAAACTCCAATACTGCCAATAAAAAAATATAGTCTATTTTCAGGCAAATTATAACATTTATAAATTACTTGACTAATTTATGTTCATTTATATGGAATATCTGAAAACTGAATAGAGGGCAGACAAATGTAGTAATGTCTGTGGTTTGAGAATCAATCTGAGACTAACTAGTTATGTGATCTTCAGCAAGTTACTTAACTGCTTCTCAGACTCAGTTTCCTCTTTGGCTAAATGCAGATAACAAGGGCTGGGGGTATGGCTCAAATAGTAAAGCATGTGCCTAGTAATGTGAGGCTGAGTTTAAAACCCAGTAGCACAAAAATGTAGACAACAGAAATATCTATCTGATAAATGAGAAAATGTACTTTTAGTTCAACATCTGGCAGATGGGTCGATGTCTAAAAATGTTAGCTATTTTTCCTTATTAAATGTTATAAGCTAATTAAGTGATTATGTTTCTAACATGTAACATCTATGTTACATCTATGTTTCTAAACAGATCTACATGTAAAGGGCATAAAAAGACATGTTTTCAATTTTCCCCCACTCCAAATTAAAAACAAAAAAGAATGAACTATTCTAAATCCTATGTCACTCAGAATTCAATTTCACTACACTGATTAATTTTTCTTACAAAACAAAGCAGACTCACAATTGTAGGCCATGTCGCAAAACTAAATCTATGCATTAGTCTGTCTCATGCTGGCAGACTTTAACTCACTATACACTTCCAGAGTTCTCCACATGATGTTCTATTTTAAATGAAATCACTCTTCCTGTTTTAGAAGAACCCCAAAAGGAACTTGTATGTGTCAATGATGAAAAAACAATAGTATGTGGTTGTAACACCTATATTCTGACCCAACAAGATCCAGAGTATTCCAAGGAAACTGAACCAGAACATAGCAAGACAGGTGGCTTCCCATTCTATACCCTCCCCAAAGGTAGTATGTGTTATCCATATTTTTTTTCTTTTGATACACTTCTCACAATTGATATCTAGGGGAAACCATGGGACAATCTAGCGGTACAATTAGAAGCCATAGGACTAATTTACCTAAGTTAAGAAAAACAAGGTGCAAGTTCAGGTACAGTGACACTTATTATATAGATTCCATGTGCTAGGCAGAATGACAAGCCTAACCCCCAACCCCTGAATGTCCACAGCCTAATCTCTAAAACCCATAAATGTTATCTTAGGTGACAAAGTAGACTTTGTGGATATAATTAAGACAAAGATTTTCTAAGACCTTTGGATCTATGGATTACCTGGCTGGGCACAATCTACCTTAAAAGCAAAGACAGCAGTACTCAGAGAGGGAGCACTGACTATGACTTTGAAGATGGAAGAAGGGGCCACAAGCCACACAGTGCGGACAGCTTCTACAAACTGCAAAAAGAAAGAGTCTTCCCTGGAACCACCATGTTGACACTGCAATTTGAGTCCAATGAGAACTCTGCTGGACTTTTGACAGGACTACACAATAATAGATATGCACTGTTAGAAGCAACTAAATTTGCGGCCATTTTGCAGAAGCAATAGAATATGGATATAGTGAATATCCTCAAGGGTTTATTCACGAGTATTTCAGGAGCCAAATTGTATATCAACTATTATAGGACACTGAAGGTCTCACCACATTTTTTTTAACCTTTCAAGATGTAGAAAAAGGGTTTAAAAACAGTTTTTGAGAGTTATTAGTGTTGGTTGTTAAGAGTTAAAACTATTTAAATTGCAGTTAGTCAACATTAAATACTTGTTATAACATCTTTTCCTTTCTGAAGAACTTTACAAGTCAAACTAAGGAAAACCTATGATGGTTTGGCTAAGAGTAAAGTTAGTTATTTTATTTCACACATCTATATGCATGTCCTACTTCTATACAAGGGCAAGTCATCGATCAGCACATTAATATAAATGCCCTTTTTCAGACTCACTTAAGGCTTTGAGCTTGTTACATGACCAATACATAATTCTTAAGGTAAACTCAGGACTAAGACCAACAGGGAGCAATCCTCAAGGTAGACACCAATGCCATAGATTCAATATACCTAAGTTCATCCATTTCCTTTTTCTTCTTCATTTCTTCTTTTTCTCTCCTTTTCATTTCCTGATTTTGGGCTTTTTTCTCATTCCTCTCTTCACGGTCCCTGCTTTCTTTCTCTGCTGCTAGGTCTGGGAACCGCTCTGATTTGGTCTTCTGTAATCGGTTCAGGATCTCATTCACTTTCTTCTCCACTGTCACAATTTTTACCTTCAAGAGGGACAGGGGGAAAATACCAATTCTTTATTTTTGTTTTTCTCTCCTCAAAGAGGGCTGAAGCTTTCGAGGGGTCGAACAGCCCAATTTAACTCCCTTAGGAAGCATACATCATGCTCGGCCCTCAATACCACAATGACAGACAGAACAGGTGGATGCCACCCCTCATCTGGCTTTACCTCCTGCAGCAGTACAAACACTTACATCCTTCTGCCTGTGAAAGCCTATCTGCCCCACATCCATGTCAGCTGTTTTCTTCAGGTTAGACCACGGTGTATATACCACATTAACGTTGTTCATCTTGCAGCCTGCCAAGAGAGACTGTCTTCAACATGCAGTCAGGATGAGATGGAGTAACACACCCCCTCATCCACGACATACTGCCATCATCCAACCCAGGAAGAGGCTTGGGAGGAACAAGCTTTCTGCTGTTTCAAACCACAAAATGCTTTCAAACCACCCACAAAAGGCAAATAGTAGAGCTGACATTAAACAAAATGCAAACAAAAACATTACAATGGAAAGCAGGGAGGCATCCAAGATTAGTTTCAGGGACTTCTGAGAAAGCCCTAAAATTGAATGAATATTTATCATGTGTGTTTTTTGTTCAAGAAAAAAGGACCAAGTGAGTTTCTTGAGATTCTCAAAGGAGTCCTTGAGTCAGTGAAGGTTAAGCAGCAATACAAAGCCATGGCCTGGGATTTCAAAGACCTGTACTCTTTCCTGTCACTACCAGAGACCAGCTGTACCACTCTGGGAAAGTCTTCATGGCTCTGATTCTCACCTGAAATATGAAAAATCAGATTAATTTAGTAGGGATTTTGTTTATTGCTTCTTTAAGCAATGTAACCCTTTTTAACAAAGAAAGCACAAAAAGGTCATCATAGCTGAAATGGTCTAGATGAAAGGGGTGCCAGGTACCCTGTTCACTCATCCTCTATTCTTTCCCACTAATACCTCCACCAGAAGTTCCCCTTCACTCTCATCAGCCTCCCCAGCAGCTGAGAATTATAGGTGAATGAATCACTGTTCTGATGCTTCTGTCCTTCCACATTAGATAACTACAGACTTTGGTGGTTTTAGTCCCCACAAACACTAGAGAAAGCTGGTGAACTCCACCTTAATAAATGGTCAGTTAATGTTCCCCAAATGGTACAAATCAACATCCCATGCTGCCTGACTAGAATGTGCAAAAATGCACACTATGACTCTAAAGAGATCAAAGAATTGTGATGTGTAAATACACTGCATGAAGGAAGATCATGAGTTTAAGGCCAGCCTGAGCTACACCACACTCTGTCACTGCATGAACCTAGATCAGAACAAAAATGCTATAAAGGAACAAAAGCAGGACAACTGCCAAATTTAAATACAGATTGTGTATCAGATTGCAGTATTCTACCCATGTTAAGTTTCCCGAATTTGATCATTGTACTGTAGTTACTTCAGAGAACATCCTTGTTCTTAGGAGATAGGGTTGGGTGGGTTGTAATGCCTACAACTTTCCTTCAGATGGTTCATTTAAAAAAGTTAATAATGAGTATGATATATACAGAAAGCAAATAAATATGACAAAATTTTAAATTGGTGAATCTAAGTGAAAGGTATATGGAGTTGTATTTTTCTTGCAACTTTTCTGTAGGTTTGAAAGTTTTTTTCAAAATAAAGTTTTTGCTTTTTTTATTTTTTAAATCTTTATGTGAAAGGCACTGCAGGGGATACATAAAAACTTCAATTAAAAGAAGGCATCAAAGGTTGCTGGAAAGGTACAGGCAAGATTGCTGAAATAGTTCAGAAAAAGCAGGGTCCCTTCAGAGCTAGAGAAAGGAAAGGTGCCAACAAGGAGGTACACAGAGCTCTGTGATTAAGACAAAAGACTTTAAAGTTGAATCTGGCCTTCAGAGCTCTGAGACCCTGTGCAAGTTCCTTAATCCTCTTTAAGGTGAGTTCCCTGTTCTGTAAGGTAAAAAAAAAACCTAACTCAAGAGGGTTGATAAAGGAAATATTTTACAGGACCAGGCATGTAACTAATATTCCTTCAATGTTAGCAATTACTATTATTACCCTGGCTTGAATTTGCTCATTTAATGACTGAGGGGGACAGAATAAAGAGCAATAAAGGGAACAATATAAGCAAAAGTACAAGGTCAGAAAACAGCAAAGATTAGCTTGAGCTGGAATGAAATCTATGAAGGGACCAGAGATGCTTAGATGCCAACTTAAGAAGTCTAGACTGGACTATCCAGGCAAAGGGAGTCACAGAACCTCTTAAGCTTCCGGGGAATTTAGTCTGGCAAGATTCATCAAGTGACATACAGCAGGCTGACTTATAATTCTAAACTTATGCCCCAGAACAGATTGATTTTTGACAACAAACAATTTTCATCTCCATTCTCTTGGTGCTAAGCAGCGAGGAAAATTTTTGTAACTACACAGTGCTGCAGCAGGTGGAGTGTCCTCTGCAAGCAAAGACCATTTTCTTCATTCCTCAGCAGCAGTCTCTACTACTGACTCACAAGTGAGGCCTGGGGCTCAGCTAGTTTTCCTGTTAAGTAAGCCATCACTGTGGACAGCTAAGGAGGAAAGGGAGGGCTATTTGATGTCGTGACTCTCTCCTCCTCGTTCCGACTTCTCTAGAACTAGTAAACTATAAAACAGTTAAGAAGAAAGAGACTGAGCCAAGAATAACGAGTCCTAAGCTTTTTTGAACAAGCCAGGAACACAGGAAGAAACAGGGCTGTGTGGAGATAGCTGGAAGAGCAGAAAATAATAATTATTTCAATAACTGAAGAGCTAAGAAAATTTTATTGTACTCATAAAATGGAATATACCTAAACTTATTACAGTCTATTGATTTATGGAGATGAAAATTGGTAGCTCCATGAGGCAAGACTTGGACCTTCTTGGCCTAGGTACCTGATTCATTACTAGGGCTGTCTTAGGTAAGATTCAAGAGATCAGTTAAGTGACAGGAAAGGACTGCTGGCTAGTGTTTGTTCTGTAATCACCCACCCCTAGTATCTTTATCAGCTATGTGTCTGTGTGGAGACCATATTCTCAGTCACACAGGTGCAACCTCGGAAGAAGGGGGGTGCAGCTCTGGGAATACTGTCTTGGGAACTGCATAGCCTTGAAGGTGTAACCATGGAAACTTAACCTTGGGCCATTAGGCCCCCGGCTGGATGCCAAAGTACACTTATGTAACAGGGTATGTGTTTATGAGTCCAGGCTGCTGTGTAACTGGTTTTTTTGGGGTTTTACTAGGCAGAAACAGCAGGTTCCCCTGTCTCTCCTTCCCTCCTGCAGTCTGCTGTGTTGTTGCTTAGAATAAAGCTGCCTATACACAATGGCCCCGATTGCTTTTCTTTCAGTTTTCCACTGGACCCACTCTGGACACCGTTGGCCAAAATGGTTGGTTTGACAGTCTGCCTCATGTTTATCTTCTACCCAAATTGTATTTCTTTCCAACCCTCTGGATCATCCTTCAACTTCAGATCAAAATAAAATTACTTCTACTCTATCTAGATCTATGTCCTATTCCTAACATCTGATTAATTATCTCAATCATTTAGCAGACTATTACCTTCTGACTCCCCTTCTTAACTGCCACCCCCAGCTCAATAATCATCCTTTTTTACTTTACTAGTGAATTAAATTTTATACAGTAGAACTAAACAAGAACCAAGCAGAGTACTCCAAGTCAACTGTTCTCAACTCACAGTGCACATTAGAATCACCTGGAGAATTTTTGAAACTAATGATACTAAGGGATCACTCCATAGCAACTAAGTAAGATTCTCTCGGGAGGAGAGATGACAAGATCAACTGACTTGATACCTTCACAACTTCAATGAAGAAAAAAGTATATAAGAGGAAGATGAGACAAAGTATACTAAAAGCATGATTTTAAGACTCTAGTTCTAGAATCTAATGACAAATGATGAAAATTAAGACATCAACAAAAGTTGGATGTGGTGGTATACACTTCTAATCCCAGCACTTATGAAGCTGAGGCAGGAAGATGGCAAATTTGAGGCCAGTCTGAGCTACACAGCAAGAACTTCTCAAAAAAATAAAAAAGACACCAACATTGAAATAAAGCCATTTCTCTTTCTTTTTACAAATAGGCAGATCTAGACAAACTCCTATGAAGGTAAGGAAAGGAAATTAAAAAGAGAGAAGATTCAGGTAGGACCATAAAAATGAGATACGGAAATTAGCTTTAGTTCTTTGACAGCTAGCAAAACTGACATTCACATTAAAGATGTTATCTGCTTTTCCTCTGTCTAGGCCAAAGTCAATAGCATGTTTTCTAAAATGTGATCCATTTCAGACAGAGAGAAAATCAGGGCTGATTCTGAAAACACTTCTAGGAAAACTGACCTTGAATACTATTGGCCTTCACAAGGTGGGCACAGTCCATCAGCACCTCCTTTGGAATGTCTTCTATGTTTTCTCCCTGAAACACAAAAATAAAAATGGTCCACTCCCCAGAGCACTCAGTAGCAAAGGGTGTTTGCTGTCTTACCTGCTAGCAAGACTTCAGTAAAGTCAAGGGTTCTTCAGTTCTGTAACAGAACACTGAAAAATGAAATAAATGTACTGTCTCTGCCATGGGGATGTTTTTTAAACTAAGAGAAGGCAGTAATGTAGAAAATACTGACACTTAATAAATAAAAAAATATTAACTGTAATTATGTCTCAATAATTTTTGTCATCTTATTACTTCTGGAAACCTTGTGGGGGAAATGACATCTTAACTTGAAGTCTTTCAGGCTGAGGTCTCTATGACCTTTCTCTCTCAAAGAGACAACTTGAGGTTGTTTTTGACCTCGATTTCTGAGATGACCTTTCAGTATACTGAAAGCGTATTCCTTACTATTACTTTCACTACCAAAAAAAAAAAGAGACAACTGGATGGGGGATAGAGGTGTAGTTCAGTATTAGAGAGCTTGCCTAGCAAGTACAAAGCCCTGTATTCAGTCCCCAGCACCCCAATAAATAGAGACAACTCAAAAGTTCTGTATCTCAAGCATAAGGTAGTTCATCTACCCTCAGCCATAATCAGGAACAAAGTACTTGTGTTAGATCGCAACCCTTCACCATGACAGAGAAGTAACAAAGATAATCTTAGTCCTTTCCCTCTACAGAAACCTGTATCAAATTGAAGGTAAGAAGAATGATTAAAAAAAATATTTTCAAAGCCAAGAGTAAGTGGAAATCAGTTCTGTACTGGGTCCTACTAGGCATGGAATTATAGAAACATCTGTCATCGAATGAAATGTTTCACCTAAGTAAATACTGATATAGTTTTTTCCATGGTGTTTCCTACACTTTTTTTCATTTTAAGTGTTTTAAATGAGAATCTCTCAAATACATAGGTTTGTCACTACTTTAAAGACAATTCTCATCCCAAGCATTTTCCAGGTGATTTAAATAGAGGATTCTGAACTTAACATCTTAAAAACACAATGTCATCATTACAATTATCAATCATCACATTGGGCTCTAAAGCAGTGACGGTGATAAAATACGTAGAAGCTGACCCCATACTAAATAACATCAAAATGATAGGAAAAAACAACTTTTTGAGTGCCATATGCCAGGTAAATAGCCATATGAACTGGACAGTATGCCTTCACTTTGCCAATGAAGAAACTGAAGCTTAATGAAGTTAAGAAACTAAGCTAAGGTCTAGTGAGTGACAGCTGAGAGATGAACCAAATCAAAGCCACGCTCTAAAAACTAGCCCAGACTTTAGTATTTATGGAGTTCTTGTGGCACTGTGTAGTTTCTTGGTCCCTGAGTCAGGCTATGACTCAATACTTCTCCTTAATACCTGTAGAGTCACTATTCCTAAAGTAATCCTCTGTTTCTGGTTTGCCACTTCCAATATAATATGAGCAAGTGAAAAGAAAAGAAAAAGAAAAAAGAAAAAATATCCAGTTTAACACTCAGCATATAGTTAGAGGAAGCAAGCTCTAAGTGAGGGTCCAAGACTCCCTATATGTAAAGGCCAGAATTTTGACAGTTGTCTTTGTGTCATCTATGTAAATGGGATAAGAAACCTATAGATAGTCGAGACTTTTCTGTGAGTTTCAAAATCAAAGAGGTTTATGAAAGAATACTGCTGAATTATGGTTTGGGTTGAATTCAACAAAGCCCAGTCAATGCATACAGTGCTTAGCACACACAAGACGATATTCTAAGGGCTTCAAGATATGCTACCTCCTTTAATCCTCACAATGACCCAATAAAATAGTAGTTGGTCTCTTCTACAGACATGGCAACAAGCATAGTAATGTGCTCAAATAACACAGCTAGTAAGCAGCAGAGCTAGGATTTGAATCCAAGAGGCAGACACCAGTCTGGGTCTGAAATCAACTAGGTAAAAGTTCCACCCAGAGCACACACTTTCAAAACGACATCATATGCTTCTAAAAGAAAATGAAACTGAACTTCTATTCAAACAAGTAATAACTGATAGATATGGAACCCCAAGACGGCCACCATCATTTCCATTCTGACACAGCAAATCCAAAGGAAAAGAAGTAACATGCAACAAAAAGAAACCTGGTAACACCATACTGAATTTTTTCTACATTTATTAGTTTCAAAACAGCAAAATGTTACCTAGGAGAATTCAGGAGCTTGTTCCAGCATGGAATTCATAAAAGAGGAGTCTTTTCTTCATAATACAGTCCTCAAAAATATCAATTGTTCAAATAAAGGTGGAACACACAGTTTAACCTTGCCAGTAAATTAAGACATTAATATTAGAGCTGGGAAAATGGCTCAAGTGGTAGAATACCTGCCTAGCAAATCCAAGGCCTGAGTTTAACCCCAGTACCATCCCCCAAAAAGGTGTTAATATTAAAGCCATAATAAAGTAGCATCACATATTTATTAAAATCATTTATTTATTGGTAGAACTGGGGTTTGAACTCAGGGCTTTACACTTACAACATAGGCACTCTACCACTTGAACCACATGTCCAGTCTATTTTGCTCTGTTTATATTGGAGATGAGTTCTTGCCAACTATTTGCCCACGCCAACCTCAAACCTCAATCCTCCTGATCTCAGCCTCCCAAGTAGCTAGGATTATAAGCATGAGCCACTTGAACCCAGCTAAAATAGCTTCTCAAAAGTTATAAAATCAAAAGGATTTTGGAAAGCCTATGATTAGCAAATAGCATTTTAAACAATACTCTAGAGGCAATCTGGAATTACCAAAATATGTGTATCTTTCGACCCAGCTATTCCATACCTAAGAATTACTCTAAGAAAATATTCCAAAACCAGGCACAGTGGTACATGCCTATAATTCTAGTACTTGGAAGCTAAGGCAGAAAGATTACTTGAGCCTAAGAGTTTGAGACCAGCCTGGGCGACATAATAAGATCTCATCTGAAAAAAAAAAAAAAAAACAATCAGTATATTTCTTTTTGGAAATTCGTAACACTGGAAAGCTCTAAACAACCTATGTTCTGACAAAGGAGCTTATGCATTAGTGTGGCATATTATCAGCTCTCTACAGTAAATCAAAATATGGAAATAATACAGTACCATGAAAAAGTTTAGGAATAGTCACTTTAAAAAGTAATAAGGTCTGAAGGCATGGCTCATATGGTACAGCACCTGTCTAGCAAGTGTGAAGCCCTGAGTTCAAATCCCCACATCACCAGAATAATAATAACAACAATCACAATAGTAATAACATAATCAACCAGGAATGCCAGAATGGATGCAGAGTGAGAGATAAAATAATCTAACTGCAATATAAATGTAGGCCATCACAACACTAAAAGGATAGGAAAAAAGCAGCTTAAAGGTAACTTTGGAAAATAATGTTCTGACTAGAAGTCACAAGAGACAAAATAAGTGTTCATCACCACTGTATTCTACTTGATAAAGCTGTTTCCCATGGAGATATAATTTAACAGTTCTGAAACCACTTACACATATATAGGAGACAAATAAGTAAATGGAAGGTGCATGGTGGGAGCCAGGTTTCTCAGATTAGAGTCAAAGATAGTACAAGCTCATGCTGAAGCTTAATGAAGGCACAGATGAAGAAACAGAGAAACAATTATAGATATGCATATGGACATGAGTCAGTGTACTTGTATATTACAAGCTGAGTATCCCGTATCTGAAATGTGCTTTGGATTTCAGATTTTTGTTTAGATTTGGGAGTATCTGCATATACATGAGCGATCTTGGGGATGGGATCCAGGTCTGAACACAGAATTCATTTATGTTTCATATACACCTTATACACACAGGCTGAAGGTCATTTTATGTGGTATTTTTAGTATACCAGCATTTTTACTACAATCTGTCACATGCAATCAGGTGTTTGGATTTTGGCCGTTTCAGACTTTTGATTTTTAGGTTAGGGATGCTCAAGCTGAAACAAGATACTTGAATAGTATTAAGTACTCCCAGGATCAAGATCTTAATTTCAAAATACCATTCACCAAGAAAATAAACCAGGCGCCTTGGAAAAATGGAAGATTCTAGAGCTAGGGCAGGGCTCATTCAAGACATGCCTGGAGCACTTCATAGGGTCATAAATTAAGAAAGTGCTGAGAAAACAAAAGAATGGGCACATGTCAGAGTATAGAAGCCACCATGAAAGGGTTGAAAAAGCTTCAGCCAAAGCTGGAACAGCAGAAGCAACAGAGTAATAGTACCAGGATACAACACAAAGCATAAAATAAACAAGAGTCCATAGTGATGCAAATAAATGGGGGCGTTCCAAATAATACATGTAGATACTCCATCCTCCAGAAAGTGGAACTTAATCCTATCCCCTGCCCCTATGAGGAGCTACAATGGGGAGAAAAGCAACTTGTCAATGGAGAAGCCTAGTAAAACACTACACTGGCCAGGTAATCAAGGCTCACAACATCAATGATGAGCCCTGACACGATGGGATGAGGAGGCACTTCCTCTCTGTGGTATTCTCTCCCCTCCAAGCCCATAACCTCAATCTAGTGATGAGGAAAACATCAGATGAAACCAAATTAAGTGACATTCTACAAAAATCCCTGATCAGACTGTCAAGATAACAAAAAAAAACAGAAAAAGAGAAACTCAAAGACCAGAGGAGACTAGGGCAGACATGACAACTAAATGCAGTGTGGTAGGGTGAACATGATCAAAGCACTTCATAAAACTATTAAAAATTGTCTCAAAAGGTAAGAAGAAGGAATAAAAAAGGATAATAAAGGGGGTAAATTTGATCAAAGTATATTACATGCTATATGGAAATATCACAATGAAACCTCTTTGTACAATTAATATATGCTAAGAGAAAAAAACGCAATGTGGTACTGGTGAAGTGGCTCAAGTGGTAGAGTGCCTGTCTAGCAAGCATGAGGCCCTGAGTTCAAACTCCAGTATAGCCAAAAACAAACAAAAATAACAAAATGCAGTGTGGTACCCTACCATGTATCCTAGAAAAGAAAAAGAACATTAATGGAAAAACTGGTGAAGTTCAAATAAAGTCCAGAGTTTAGTTAATAGTAAATTAAACTAACTTGGCTTCTTAGTTTTGACATATCTACCATGGTATTGTAAGATGTTAACAATGAGGAAAACTTCTCTAAATCTAAAATTATTCTAAGGTAAAAAGTTGATTTTTTAAAAAAAAAGGCATTACATATAACAGGCATATGTACCTATGATTTAACTATATAAAATATATGACTAAAGACAGACTAGAAAAAATAGCAGTACTATATTACAAGAGTACATTAAATCTTTCTTCCTTTATCATTGTCATGCTGTTTTAGACTGCTCAAAGAAGCCCTGATAACTGGAAACATCCCCTCAATGAGGAAGGAGAATGGAGTGAGCCTGAGAAAAAGGAACCACCAGAGAAGAGAGAAAGTCTGGTAGTGTTGACTGAATTGAAAGGGAGAGAAAGCTGGCAGGATAAGGCAGTGCTTCTACTGGGAGACATGTAAAATGGCCCCTTCGAAGTCTCAGAAATCACACAGAATTTTCCATAATGATTCTCTAAGTCAGGAGAAAAACACTCATTTACTAACTTTTAGACTTTTGAACATATTTATTACTTAAGCAAGTTAACTGCAGAAAAATAACACAGAACAAGGTATGCTGCTAGTCACTAGAGAATAAACCATGAATCCATGTTTAAATCCAGTTACCTTATGTAATCGAAGGTATACATGAGCTGAAGAGAGTTTGTCCACATGAAACCTACAAAGAATGAAAACCACTTTTAGCAAGAGCTACCATACAACCACCTCCTTGGTCACCTGCATTTACAGTATCCCATTCCAAGAAAATACTCACAGGGGCCTACCACATGCTAGGCACTATGGGAGGTATAAAACACAGTTGCCATCCCCATAAGGCTCGCCAGCAACCTGGAGAGGCAAGATAAACACTGGGAACTATGCAGCTGTGCGGGATTTAGTGCCAAGGTGAGCAAGACAATAAATATTAAATGCCTTGAGAAGGGTAATCTTTCAAGTGATAAAAAGAGCTATAAGTAACCAAAGACTTCATGGAAGAACTGAGATTTGGCTGCCCCTGACTAAAGCACAGGGCTGAGAGAAAAACAGGGCAAGAAATTTCAGCTGAAAAGAAAAGGCAAGGAAAGAAGTCAGAGACATTCCAATGTTGCCAGCCAGCCTGGGAGATTTGCAGGACCACAGTTTGGAGAAAAGATGAGGGTTTGGCTTAGGACAGCCCAAGTTTCAAGCAATAGCAAAAACAACCATAGGCCTAAAGTCACTAAACAGATTACATCATTAAATGGGTCAGACTAAACTGGAGGTATGGCTGAAGTGGTAGAACACCTACCTAGGAAGCACAAAACCTTGAATTCAAACTCCAGTGCAACCTAAATAAAAAGGTCAAGCAATCATTCAACCCTATATTCTGACAACTACAATAATACATCTTCTGGATGAACAATGCCTTGTATGACCTTGTCTTACAAACATTCAGAATGGGCTGGGAAGTATAGCTCAAGTGGTAGAGCACTTGCCTAGGTCTGGGTTCAATCTCTAGGACCTCAAAAAAAAAAGAAAAATCAGAATGCCCTAGTACCTTAAATTTATCTTTCATTAAGTTTCTATCATTCATCAAGTTAATCAAATCTTTTAAAATTGATGTGAAATTTTGGAATATTGTACTTTTCATGCTTACAATTCACCAAATGAAGTTGACTTTCTCTCTTTGCAATACCCAGAGATGCCCCTAGAATCCCAGCATTAAACGATGAACACAACTGGCACTTTATGATTCTGTTGTCCTTTCTTTTCCAGACTAACAATGTTCAGTAAAACCTAAGTACTACTACATCCTATTGAATATTTTGCTCGCCATTTTGTAAGTATTACTTTACTTTTTAGATGTGAAAATGGTCACAGAGCCACACTCAGTGCAAGATGTTTAGACAAGTGTGAGTCAGTAAAAAGGTTAAGCTTATGCTGTTTCTAATGCTCTCCTCAAAGAGGTAATACCTTGCTGTTCACTTTGACTATAGAACAATACCAGGTATTGGGGGCAGACTATGTTGACTCTAGGTTTTATTCTTAATTATTACTGATAGCTAGAATGGACATTACATCATATTTGATTTATGTTTTTCCAAGTTGTTAAAAGAGATTTATACTAATTATCACCTTTAGTTGGGCATTTTTTTCACCTAGAAAAATCTGCGTTTTTGCAAATCTAAAAATTAAATAACATATTATTCATTTAGAATCTTAGGAAAAACACACTATAAACAAGCTCAATTGAGAAATAACATCCGCCATTCTAACTTAAAGCAAGTACTTTAAGCCACTTCTCCATATATATAAAACTCTTTTCTATATACCTATAGTAGCTAAACTGTATTGATTTTTCATCAAGGTGTCTGATGTGAAATTTTGTCAATAAATACCTGCATAATTCTATACTTAATTTTAAAAAGCATCAAAACACATACAGGAGTATCACAGCAATCATATACCACTTCAGGTTTGTACGTAGTAGGTATGCCTCTACAAAGGGTGGAGGGACTGACAGAAGTATGGGACTTTGATTGAAATGCTAAAAAAATAGAAAAAAAAAAAATCCGAGCTGGGTGCTGGTGGCTTATGCCTGTGATCTTAGCTACTTCAGGATGCAGAGATCAACCTTGGGCAAATAGTTTGAAAGACCCTATCTGGATAAAAAACATCACAAAAAAAGGGCTGGTGGGAGCTCAAGTCATAAGAGTGCCTGCCTAGCAGGCATAAGGCTCTGAGTTCAAACCCCAGGGCTAAAAAAAAAAAAAAAAATCAGATCTGTAAACAAAACTAGTTTGAGCAAATTTCCTTAAAAAAATCCTTCCCAAATTTCCCAAAATGCTTACTCAAAGCTTAAATTATACCCACTACTTCCCTCTTACCTTGTTATGTTGCTGCCCTGCTTAATTCCTGTTAGCCTTTAGCAAATACAGACGCTGGAAATTTCACTAAAAGAGCAACAATGACCTGAGGACACTGAGATGCCTCAGAAGCCTCATGCTTAATTCCTTCAAGTGGGGTCAGTGAAAATGCTGCTCACTAAGCACTGTGGAGACAATGAACACACACTATTGCTATTTTCCTCATTTAAAAATTAATTTACTTCATTCTCATTGATTCCTAGGAAAATTCTTTGCTTAAAGGAGCCTAGTGAGGTCTTCGGAGATAAACTCAGATGTTGACAGTCATAGAGGTAAATTTCCAAAAGCTGCATCAGAGTGATCCAGGTTAAAACCTTTCCTGGAGCACAGATCAGTCCACGATCATTCTCAGCACCCCCTGGAAGGCTGCCAGGACTGAGAGTTGAGAAGTCAGAACAGACTTGTGGTTTGAGCATATTCCAGCTCACATCAGTTCTCAAATAACTTCTGAAAGTAAAAGTCAGTCTCATCTAACCATACTCACTAGTATCTTGACTTTTAGAGTACCAAAAACCGTCTTTAGGTATCTGAAGACACCAATTTGGTAAGCTCCAACCTAAACAAAATTAACAACTCAAGTCACAATTTATTGATGTAGGTTGTAAATTAGAAATTTCTTTTCCACTTATTTAATCTAAAACCAAGTTAAAAAGTTGTGGTAGGGCTGGTGGAGTGGCTCAAGTGGTAGAGCACCTGCCTAGCAAACATGAAACCCTAAGTTCAAACCAGTACTGTCAAAAGAAAAAAAAAAAAAAAGATCCATAAAACAAAAGCCAACAACAAAAAAAGTTGTGGTGAACCAACTTCCATGGTGTAACCTTTCATATGCCTAAAACCTGATATACTAAAAATGCCCAGCAAGTAACTACCTAACAGGCACTGCCATTCCTAATTCCCTTGAGTCTGGGGATCTTTGGGCAAAAATATTCCAGTGGGAAGATAGCCAGAAAGTTTTTACTGCAAGGAACTGTTCAGTAGGGATCAATTATAGGAAGGCAGAGAGCGAGGCAATTAGGAAGTCAACAAATTTACTGAACTCCTACAATATGTTTGGTACTAGGGACACAGGAGGTAACAAAGCAAGTGGATCACTGCCCTCACAGAGCTTCTAGTATAGGATCCTCAGAAGGTAGGCAGCATTCAACCCACAAGTTCTCAGCAGTGCAAACTGCCCGCCTGAGATAAGGGGACACTAAGCAGGGTCTAACTTGAAGACACAGGAGTTCATATGGGACATTCTGCTAGGAAAAATTTTGAAAAACCTTTAAATTCCTCATATTTTCAGTATCTCTTAGATCCTTAAAGTAGACTGTGGACAAGGTGGATAATCAGGAGAATATGTCCACTGGAGTGATAACTGGGTAGATGGAAGCCCAAGAAGAGGCCCTGAAGGGAGTCTCTGCAGATAATCAGGGGTTCTGCACATAACCAAATCTAGGGGGAGCCTGAGTCAGTCTCTGTGCTGATTTAAATGCTCTCTTAAATGCTCAATGCTGTAAAGCTCACTGAAAATCCAATCAACTCTTCTAAAAAGTGTCTCCTAAACTCTTTAAGTGAATGATCTGTGCCCACAATTGAAGAAGAGATCTGGAGAGAGTTGCACCAACAGCTTGGGGGAAGAAAGAAGTAATAAAAGAGTGATACCCTGTGGGAAGAGATAAGTAATGATTTAGAACAAAGCTGGGACCAGTAACAACCAGCACACATCTGCTCAGATCCTCATCTGAAAAATGGGCGTAATATCAATACTTCTTTCCCTAGCTTGTTGAAAAATTAAATGTATTGATATAGGTAAACACTTGGTAGTATTTGGCATACAATTTAGGGCTTGAAAAATGTTCACCATTACTGTTATACCCAAGCATATAGAATCTGATAACTTATTTCCACGGCAGCATTTGGCACTGAGTGTTACTAGTTGGAGAGATGATACCCCAACTAAACATGCAGGACCTAAGCTCCCAGATAGAGAGATTATAAAAGTCAGAGTAAGGGGCAGAAGATGAAGACTGAAAAAGAGCAAATGAGTGAGACTGTGTTAGAAGACAGAGAAACCACAGGAACCCACACACTCCTTAAAGGTCTAAGTCAAAGAGGTACAAAAAGTCCATACAGGTTTATAAGACAATTAGAGATTAAAAAAAAAAATCAGCTAACACAGAAGAGTCTTTGTGTTCATTTTTGTCTTGTTATTTTTCAGACTGGGTTTGGTGAATAGCAATCAAATGACCTTGGAGGGAAGCTAAGAAGCACATATTATTATTTCAATAGTTTCCATAATATTTTAGAAAGAAGGAGTGGGGTTGGATCAAGACAGGGTGATGGACTCATCAGGGAGCTTAGAAGACAAAGGAAGCCAGTTTATGTGTTTTTCAAAGCTAAGCCTGCTCAGATATAGCATCTAGTCCACCCATACAGATGTGTCTGTTTTCTTCACTGATTCCTGGAAGGCCTCACCCACCCATTCAAGAATGGTCTCAGTGTGTGCATGTGGTTGCCTCAGTAACTTACAAGAGGTAAAAGGAAGCCAAAATTCCAGAGCCTTTGCTCTCAGGCCTGGGATCAAACCCCAATATGTTCTTGCCAATTTACATGGTAATTATAAACGAAGGGAATTTGCAGCTATTTACTACTGAACACCCACACACAGAAATACCATGACAAGTTCTAGTTTTCATTATAGGAGGCAGGTGGTTGGCCAAGTTCAAAAAAGTAAATGACAATCCACAGAAAGCACAATGAAAATTGTCACTTACCAAATATCTTCGGGCCAACCATACTTAATCAGATCTTCATCTACAGTAAAACACAAGAGAACAAAGAGAAGTAAAGAAAAACAATCAAATGAAGATATGTCAGGGTTTGTAAGTTGGGAAGGGGAGAATACCTAAATGGAGAGGAAAAAGGAAGAGTTAAAGAAGCTTTCAAGCTTCAGAAAAATTATTTTTACAATTGGACAATATAAACTGTTTAATTTTTAATACTTCTAACCTAAATCTCAGAGATATTTCTTCTCTGAGATAATGAAACTAACATCAAATCAGAGCAGTTGAGGAGTTAAATGATACTTTAGAAAATTGATTCACGGTAACAATATTTAAAAGTTAAAATGGCCTTGCTAGAACTTTCATATATTGCATTTTAATTCTTTAAGAAAAAACTGGATTATGCAGTTTAGAAAATTAGGAATAAACACTAGAAGTATAAAAAATGAAAATCACCTAAAAGCCTGTCACATATAGAGACAAAATGTTAGAAGGAAAAGGTGAAAGAGTGAAAAATAATTGTTATGGGAGAAGGACAGAACATTGTTATGGGAAGGATGAGGCAAGGAAATGATGTTTTTTAGTATAAATATTCCTTTACAATTTGACTTTTCAAACTATATATCTAGTAGATGAAAAATAAAATTTTAGGAACTTCCTTGGAAACAGTAACTACAAAAAGTTAAACCAGTATATATTTCTAATAGCCATATTAATAACTAGTAATAATTGTGTTTAACAAAGAAGAATTTAAGCATTAAATTATTAAAGTATAAAATTATTAAGTATTAAATACTTAATTGTAAAGTAAACAAAATAACTCGTATGTGATGATTTTAAATATACCAAAGGTACTATACAAAATGATCCACATCTGTTATCCCAGCTAACACAGAAGGATCATGAGTTCCAGGCCAAACTGGGCTATACAGCAAGACCCTGTCATGATCAATCAACCAACCAATCAACCAATCAATCAAATGTACCTAAGAAAGTGTAATCTACCCGGCTTGAATGGGGTGTGCACAAATCTTGGATGAAGGCACTCAAGGCAACTGCAGACACCAGGAATTTACTGGAGGGGTTTCTATTAACATAAGTGAAAAGTAGAGCAAGCAGCCAACAGGTAACAGAAAAAATAAAGGAAAAGAGAACCTATTTTCCCTCTGGTTTGGAATGTGTGGCTCTGTGATGACACCTACTGGCTACAAAAAGAACAGACCTGCCTGCTGTTCAGCAAAAGTAAATCCTTCCACTTAAATTCCATTTATGTTCAACTTAGTCCTTAACCAGAAATTGCAGAGCTAGTAGAAACACACGTTATACATGAGTAGTGCTCTCAACAAGAGGCCTGAAAAGTGCAGCACTCTCCTACAAGGCAGACAGGAGAAGTTAAGACCTCCAGCTGACTCCACAGGTCCCAAAGGAGGAAATGTTCCACAGGCACACAAGCAAAATAACAAAATGCTTCTCCAGAGGGTCCGGTATCATTCAGACTTACATCTGTTAACAGAAAGTCCACCTGTGCACGTGTATCTGTGGGTATCAGTGCCTATGACAGACCCGTAAAGGGCTGCAGCTCAATGATAGAGTGCTTGTGTAAGGTCCTGAGTTCCATCTCAGCACTACAAAATGTAAATAAAAATAAAAAGACATAGCAAATAACATGAGTATTTTCTGTAAATTTCCGTTTTAGTTACATGAATGTGTGTCTCAAAACAAAATATATTTCATACTGAAGAGAATGGTCAACAAACTCTGAAAAACTGTTAACATTTCATGACTCAGCATCTTTAGTCTCAACGAAACCCCAACAGATACTTTTCTGCAAACCTTACAAATGATAAACAACAGGGCTGGTGAAATAGCTTAAGTGGTAAAGCACCTGCCTAGCAAGCATGAGGCCCTGAGTTCAAACCCTACTACCACAAAAAAAAAAAAAAAGTAAACAACAACAACAAAAAACAGAAGATGACCTCTTCAATCCAAACCATGGAGGATTTTTTTTTTTTTTTTTAAGTCAATGCTGGTGATTGAATCCAGGGCCTCACTAGACTTGCCCACGAATGCTTTTTATTTGATCTAAACTAAATCTCCAAAGATTTTTATTTGATCTAAACTAAATTGGCACAGGTTAATCTCTGATTCATGTTACACTAAATCAGATGACACCACAAAACTCTGTAGAAGGTTCTAATCAGTCAACAGGTGGTCTAATTAAGTCAACTATTATTTTATAGTTAAGTATGTCAAATAATATAACTTGTACATTAAATATATAAATGTAAGTCCCTAAAAATGGGTGTAATTTATTTCTGAAAAGCTGACATATGGAAGTAGTAAAACTCATACCCTGTGCAATCAAAGGAAAGTTGATGTCACAGAAGGGGAGGTTACCAGAGGCCAGGGATGGTGTGGGGAGAGGGGAAGGAAAGAGATTGGTCAATTGTATGATGTGATAATTAGGTAGGAGGAGTAAGTTCCAGCTTCTATTATACAGTAGAATATAGGTAAAAATAATGAATGTTTCAAAATAGTTAGAAAAGAGGATTTTTAATGCTCTCACTGTAAAGAAATGATAAATTTTAAGTTGAAAGATATGCCATGTATCCCATTTGATCATTACACAATGTATATTACACAATATTGAAGCAACATTGTGCCCCATAAATATGTGCAATTATTTATCTCATAAAAATTTTAAAAATTATAAAAGAAAACTCATCCAATAAATGAGGGGGAGAAAGAGCAACACTTACCTGCTGGAAATTTCAAAATCAAATGCTTTTGAAAACTTACTTTCGTATTTATCCTTTCCCATGTAAATAGTGTAAGCAGATGAATTATCTAAGACAAAACAAAAATTTTAAAAAATCAGTTAACTTCATTACCAAAAACTTGTTTTGTAAGGGGACAAGTGTAAGGGGAAATAAAATGGCAGAAATGTCCTTAGGAACAAATGGCAACCCTGCGGTATAAATAACCTTGGGGATGTAAAGGGAAAGACGGCAGAAGTAACTGTTTTAGATAAAGGAGATAGGAAGGCATACTTAAATGCAAAACATTTAGGGAGACTGAGAAACCAGCAGTTTCTCTTCCTGGACAAGGAAAACAAGATAAAACATTCCTAAGGGCAGGCATCTAAAGGGATGAAATATAGACCCCTAAAGGAGAGTGACACAGCAAACTTTCCCAAGAAAAACAAAGACGGGTCTCACCAGAATGAGGGTAGTCATAAAATGTACATGACAGGTTTCAAGGACAAGAAGGATGAGACACTCTTGGAATGTCTGGCCCGATAAGGATAGGGGCAACCAGATGGTCGGGGTCAGCAAGAAGTTGATCAAACAGCCAATTATAGCTACAGCTTCAAAAGTAGAGTGGGGAGGGTGCCTAAGGCAGCCCCTATTTAATGTCATGAGCTCCAGCCATCCTTTGGCTTAGCTCTTTCACTAAATCCCACTCGTCAGGGGGCTTTGCTATCCTTCCAATACACTTTGTGCTTGCTTTACTCTTAACTCCTGGTCTGTGGTGTCAATTTGCTTTAGCTCTTAACGGCTTGTCAGGCACTTTTGATCATTGACTGTATCTTCAGGACATGATCTCAATCCAGTCCAGTATCAGTTTCATGGAAAAAAACAAGTGATAAATACTTAGATTGAGCTGGGAACTGATGGCTCATGCCTGTAATCCTAGCTACTCAGGAGGCAAAGAGGATTGCGGTTCAAAGCCAGCCCAGACAAATAGTTCGAAAGACCCTATCTCGAAAATACCCTTCACAGAAAAAGAAAAAGAAAAGGGCTAGTGGAGTGACTTAAAGTGTAAGCCCTGAGTTCAAACCCCAGTACCAAAAAAAAAACCCTTAGATTAAGGGCTGGCAAACCATGGCCCATTGAGCCAAATTCAGCTCACCACCTGTTTTTGGACAGCCTTCCAGTCAAGAATGATTTTCACATTTTTAAAGGGCGGACAAAAACAAAACAAAGATTAAGCCATAGAGACTATATTAGACTGTATTTGGCTCAGAAGTTTGACACTAAAATATTTGCCATCTGCCCCTCCCCTAAAGAAGTTCATTGGCCTATGGATATAGTTCAACGGCAATTTCCAATTCAGTGCTATACTTTTGCCTTCAAGAGTTATTGAAAAAAAAAATCAATCATTTTTAAAAGGTTCCTATACATAGCCACCTTTTATTTTGCCTAATTTGATTTGGCCAATATCAGATCTATTTCAAGTATGCTACACCAACGGGATCCCTGCTCTCCTCAGGGAACCATGGCTCCCAAATTTCTTAAAAAAGTGACTCTGTTTATGAAAATCACCCAATTATGTCCCAGCTCCACCTCAGACCAAGTAAATCCAAATCTTGAAGGTGGAGTGGTGAGCATTTGAGGTTTTTGTTGTTGTTGTTGTTGTTGTTGTTGTTGTTTTAAGACTTCCAAGTGATTCTAATGCAAAGTCAGGATTAAGAACTTGAAAGTTTACCAGGGTGCTGGGTTGCTAAACTAGTCTATCAAAACTTGTGAATGGGTCCTTAATCTACAAAGCACAGTATTTGGTAGCTGGGTGCAGGTTTGAGCTGGACAGTCTGTGCCACTGAACAGATCACACACCTATAAGTGGTGGTCAAGGCCAGGGAGCAGCACTTTCATATAAATCCTTAAGTTAGGGCTTGCCTATACCTTCAGTAACAGGAGCTTCTGTAATTATCAAGTCTAATTGCCCTTCTGGGAAGGGATAAGTCTCAATCTCCTCAGTTAGCAGTAGTAATGCCTATACTACAGTTCATAATTATTTGGAAGTAGTCAATACATAACTTGAAAAGAGTAAACATCACACTGACTAGTTGACAGGTTCCTGACAGGGCATTATATTACCTTGATAAGGCCTTTTCATAGCAGATAACAAATGCCAGAAGGGTAGGAATAAAACTAAAAAGTGTTTCAGGTTGTCTATGCACAGCCTGGCAATATTTCATGCCACTCAAACACTCCACCAAGCAATAATGTTCCTTTTACAACCTAAGAAACCATTAACAGATAAATACACTAAAGAACATCCATAAGCAAAATATTATGTACTCATAAAAGGGGGAGGGGTGAAGAAATTAAGTAGATTAGTATGTCTGTGTATCTAGATATAGTAAGACTCAATTTACAAAAAATAAATGAATACATCATGGTATAGACAGTTTACATATATACTTACATATGTATTTTGTTTGTATGAATGGATCAGTTAACAATAGTTACTTTAGGAAGCATGCTTATAAAAATGTAGAAGGGTTTTATAATTGGAACAAAAGGATTTTTAAAAATAACTGAAATAAAAGTTGTCTCCAGCTGGGCACTGGTGGCTCATGCCCGTAATCCTAGCTACTCAGGAGGCAAAGAATCAGGAGGATTGCAGTTTGAAGCCAGCAAATAGCAGGGCAAATAGTTCAAGAGACCCTACCTCAAAAATACCTAACACAAAAAAAAGACTGGTGGAGTGGCTCAAGTGCTAGCATGTCTGCCTATCAAGTGTGAGGGTCTGAGTTCAAACCCCAGTACCACCAAAAAATAATCCTGTTCAGGCTAAGCTATCCAAGTTACAGACAAGAGAATGGTAGAGATATATTTTACGCTTCACCTATTAAATGAGGCAATTAGGAACACAACTGCAACAAACTCACAGAGAAGCATTCTACAAAACAAAATGTCATGAAAGACGAAGACTGAGCAAATTGCTCCAGATGGGAGGGGCAGTAATGATGACAGAAATCAACAGAGAATAGTACTGTTGCAATGTTAATTTCCTAAATCTGATAATGAAAATGTCTTTTGAGAAAATGCCCCGATTTTAGAAATATACATTGAAGAATTTGAGGCAAACTGCAGCTTACTAAAAAATGTTTAAAAAAAAAAAGTGTGTGTGTGCGCATGTGCATGTGTGTGCACTCGTGCAAGCACATATGAAGAGAGCTAAAGATAAAAGAGAAAGAGGGAAATAAATAGACAAGGCAACTAATGTAAAATGTTAGAATTTGGGGCATCTGAGAGAAGGAAATTTTTAAAGACTGAAATTATATCCCAGTAGAAAACTAGAAATAAAAAGCACAACTGCCAAGCAAGTATGAATTAGCTCCTTTCCATATGAAAAGAAATGAAGAAGACTTAAATTGAATTATTCTACATTTGCTTTTCTCATCCAAATATGGCTGCTCAGTGAGGGAAATGGTCATCCTAACAGTACAGCAACCAACCGAAATTCAAAGGTGTTCTGACAACTTCATAATTTACAGAGCCATCTATCTGGAGAGAGATGACATCAATAAGGTACTACCAGTACAAGGAGACTTAATGAGCCAAGTGTAGGTACTTTGTGGGTCCAAAAGCCAGACAGTCTTTTATTAACACTAGAAATATAGAATAAGACTAATGTTCCTTATTCCACTATGAGAGCCCGTGGAAAGAATGAAACATGAGCAGATTTTAGTCAGAGACACTACTGTTCAAAAAGCAAAACTGAAAAAATTGTCTATCTATACCAACTCATTTCTGAGGATTATAAGTTCAAGTTTGTTCTATACAAACTTGATATGCTTTACTACGATTTTACTGTTAAAGTTGTGGTTTTTCCATTAACTTGGCATGCTTTATAATTGCAATTTTATTAGATTTAAAGCCAAATAATTTTCCAACAGGAAGCAGTTCCGACCTTATAGTGAAAGGCAGTGAGAAAACAGGACCCAAAAATCTGAAGTATTCTGTCCCATTAAGGGCACCTATGCACACGATTAAGCACTTTAAGAATTTAGAATACTTGGCTAGGTGCAGTAGTGTACACCTATAATACCAGCTATGCTGGGGGTGTAGGGAAGAGGATTCTCCTGAGGCCAGGCCCAGGCCTGAGATCCAACCTGGAAAATAACAGCTGGAGGTATGGCTCAAGGAACAGAGCTGCTTCCTAACAAGCGCAAGATCAAGACTTCAAAGACCAGTACTGTGAAAAAAAAATTTTTTTGAATACTTCTGAGGATAAAGCAACTAGCATGAAAGAAATTTAGCAGCTATACTCCCTGTCTTTATCATTCCACTGTAGGCCGGAATAGGTATGTTTGTTGTTGGGGGGCTCTCATGAGTGGAGACGTTACAAAGAGCTTGATCTTATGGTAACAAACAGAGGATTAAAATGCCTAAGCCTGTAACGATGGTATGACTATCTGCTTTTTCAGGCTGGGTTTTTAAAATGAGTTTAAAATAATAGCATGTATTCTCTCCTACAGAGAAATAGCTCACAGCACATTGTGACAGTCTAAAACTGAGAAAAGCAATGTGAGAGTGATGGAGTGGGAGGAGCATAGGCCTGGAAGTTACACCTTCGTGAGACTTTAATTCTCTCATCTGTGAAAAACTTCAACCCACCTCAAAACAGTGCTAGCTTCATTTAAGACTCGCCTTTTACAAGCAAGCACATAGGGTGGCAATAGAGAGTAAGTCATAAAACACCATTCATTTATTCAACACACAGTTATTAAGAACTGTGAGTCAGGCACTGTGCTAGGGAAACAAGATAAAGACACGCTGTCCTCAAGTGGCTACACTACACGCTCGCTGAAGCAAACAGCATTTAATATTCAGTGGTAAGAGAGGTGCTGAAGGTACCTGGGACGTTAAGGGGGTACTTAAACAATCTTGGCGTGGAAGCTAGGTCAGGAAAGTCATCTAGTTATCTTTTTCATTCTTTCATTTTGACGGTACTGCAGTTTGAACTCAGGCCCCATACTTGCTGGGCAGATGTTCTACCACTTGAACCATGCCCCAGCCCATCTATCTATGTTCATGGAGAGAAGTTAACTGGAGGTTGACTTTAGACAAAAACAACAACGTGAGCAGAGAACCTAGAGCCGCAGCATTTCCTGGAAACTAAAAGTCCTCTTTCCTTGCCTGTTAAAAACAAATGACAACTGTTTTGCACGCGTCACTTTCAAGACCAGGAACGTCGGTCCAGCAAGTGCTGCATCGACGTTCCTATTGCTTTCCGTTGCATCCCAGGCCCTAAAAACCCTCCCTCTCTTCGCGAAAGAGAGTTGTTAGGAGGTCTCCCTTTCTCAAAGCGGATAATAACTAAGGTGCAGCCAGAATAAAGGCCGTAGGACTAGGAAAAGGATCTGACATGGGGAGGAGGGTGTGAAGGAGCCCACAAACTGCCTCATTCCCTAGTGAAAATCCAGCGGGGCCACCGCACCCACCTCGGCGCCCAGCCCTGCCTAGGGGACGCCCGGGACAACAGGGCAGCCAGAGGGTCTGACAGGCAGGAGGACGGAGACCGCGCGGACGCGGAGGAGACACTTCAAGGAAGGTCCACGCACCGCGGCCGCTCAGAGATCCCAGCTTTAGATTCCGCCGCCAAAAGGGATCCGCGAAGGCGCGGCGCGCACTCACCGCTGTGGCTAGTGAAGTAGAACACCATGATCCCTGCGGCAGTGCGGGACTCGCGCGCCTACAGCAGTAGTACTGGAATCGCCAAGCTCAGGACACCAGAACAAGGCGGTCGCCGGCTCGCCGGAACTCCTCCTCACACTTCCGGCGCACGTCTGGTGACGTCACAACGCAGCTCTGACGGCGCCATCTTTAATCCTGGCGCGGCTAAGACTGTTGGGAGGGGCAGGAATCAGTGACTTAAGGGTTGAGGAAAACTGGATGGAGCCCAAACTCACCCGTAATTAGAAAACCTGGTGGGACGGCTGGAGGCGTGGCTAGCAAGTTCGTAGGCCATCTGTTCGAACCCCAGTACTGGCAAAGATAATACTTCTTGTTGGAAAGTGAAAAAGAAAATGCTGTTTTGCAGACCTTATTTTCAGAGCCTACACTCAGTGGACAGCCATGCCCTGAGGGTTATTTATTGATTTTGGTTTTAGCTACCTCCCTTTAACCCCTTACGGACCCCAAGAGAGTAGACTGCTTTCCTCACAGCTAGGGATCCCTGTGCTGATCGCTTTACTTGGTACTAATTAGGAGCCCTTTGAATTTTAAATGAATCCACATTCCTCCACATTTTGACAGGTTTTTTGTTTTGTTTTGTTTTTGTGTTGGGATTTGACCTCAGGGTCAAATCACCTTGACCCACTCTACCAGCCCTTTTTTTGTGATGGGTTTTTTCCAGATAAGGTCTCTTGAATTATTAGCCTGGACTGGCTTCGAACCGTGATCCTCCTGATCTCTGCCTCCTGAATAGCTCGGATTAAAGACGTGACCACCAGAGCCTGGCTTGACAAAGATTTTTCTTTCCTGGCCAAACTTTAGTCAGACTTTCGAATCTTCTGCTAGGTCCACCTGTGCACTTCCTTGTAAAATCCAGTTTTAGCAAAGACCTTTGCTAATTCAGTTTAGCAAGAAATCCCCCCATCCTCACTATCCAGTAAGGGTCTTCATTGGCCAAGAATCCTATGGGTCAGGTTAGCCAGAATCCTCCTCCTCCCGATGTTTCCGCTTCGTGATTTTCTATCAACTGACCCGTGATTGACCTCTGCTCTGCACCTTGCTATAAATTCTCACTTACCCATGGTGTTGAGCCCAATTGCTCCCCCCCAACTGCATACCCTCTTACCTTCTTATCAAAGTGGCCCTGAATAAATTCTTCCTTACCATTCTTTAATAAGTATATATTTTTTCTTTTTGCAGGTGTGAGCCGCCAGTGCTCGGCTAACAAGTATAATTTAATAGCTTTTTTTCCTTGAATATATATGTTGGGCATATTAATTAAGTGCTCTCTTTCACTATCCTCATGTGCCAAATGAAGATAATAGAGCAACTAAGGTTTAGAACATAGTGAACACTCCAATGAGTTATTACTGATACTCATCAGAGGCAGAATGTCTCTTAAAGTTTGGATTCAGATTGTTCTGCCTTTAAATCTAAGGTCTGCTATCTATTACCTATGAGATTGGACAAATCCCAAACCTCTGAACCTCAGAGGTCCTCTTGCTCCAAAGTGGAGGATGATCATTCATACAAAGCTCCCACAGCACTTAGTTTTGACTTAGTTACTTTTCTTACTTCTGGTAAGCAAAAATTGAGAGGCCATATTTTTGGTCTGAGCTCCTCCACTAGACCCCAACAGACAGGACCAAACCAAAATGGAGTCACTCGTGGTAAATGCCATAAAAAGAAACTGAAGCTTTAAGGAAGCAGATAGTTCTCAAAACAAATCAGTGTTTCCTAACACACAGGAAATTTCAATCTACTTGAATTTGCATGATAAAGAAGTCCCCTCTGCTTTAAATCTTAACCGGAAAAAGTAACTTGAGGCAACCTGATGTTAACCAGTTTCTTCCTATTCTGTTTCCTTCTTTCTACCTTACAAAATCCAATATTCCACTGTTGCCCAGTGGGACATTTCATTCTATCCTGTAGAATGGAGGCTGCCTCAATTCATGAATCCTGAATGAAAGCCAACAAGATCTGATAACTAAATTTGTTGGAATTTTGCCTTTTAGCACTTCATTCTATGAAGTTGAGTTCATCATTTGAGTGCATCACTTAACTAAATTTATTTAGAACTAGAGTCTACCAGAGCTGGTGACTCAAAGACAGTAACAATATCTAACAACCAACCAGTGCTGTAAGAACCTTCCTTTTGGGGGAAAGGCAAGAACCCGGTCGTGTCCTTTAAATAATCATTGTTTCCAGCTCTTCGGTTTTACTCTCTGTGAAATGGGAATTATAATGCATACCGTATGGTATGTGGTGAGGACTGTGGTGAAGACTAAATGACAGAAAACACGTAAAGCATGTAAGAATGCTTGGACAGTCTGTTCATGCCCTGATTTAATTCTAAAAAATTAAGTTAACAAAAAGTGAAATAGGAATCTAAAGTACAACTAATCAAAAAAGTACAACTAACAATCGAACTTCAGATGTGAAAAATAAGTGCCACGAAAATCTTGGAGAGATTACAAAAGTTTCTGACACCGAATTAACTCCAGAATGTGACCTAGACGTCTGCTGCTCAGAAAACTACAATTCCCAGAATGCACCTGAGCAAGGCGCGGGGGGGAATGGAGTGCTGCATTGCTGGAAGAGCTTGAGGGAGGCGTGGTTTCCCTGAGGAGAGAGCTTTTTTGCCTCCAAGGGCGGGAGAACTTTGGAGGCAGCTTTCTGGAAGGGCGGGGCAAAACTGGCAAGCGACCAATCAGCGAGCCAGCCTCTGGAAACACTGAGCAGCGACGAATCAGAACGCAGCAGCGTCCGCCAGCTCTGGCGCGCGTTAATTTGAATACGTTCGAGGAGCGCCGGGCTGGAGTGCTGAGAGGGCCGAGGAGTCTGAGGCGCAGGTAGCCGCTACGGGGACGGGGGCTGAGGTGGAAGCCGCGGGGACGCGAGACTGGGGAACGCGTGGGCTTTTGCTGCGGGCGCGCGGCGGGTTGGCGGTCTGGAGCCCGAAGCCCCTGACGGGTGTCCGCGCTGGCGGCGTAGGGTTTCCATGTTCTTGAGAGCGGCGTTTTCCTGGCTCGGCCGCGCCTCGACCTTAATCCCACAGACCCTGTCCTTCCTGCCCGCTTGGCTTTCTGGGGTCACGCGTGTGTGGCTTGGGGGAGCTCTGAGCGCCACAGTTACGGTGGACGCGCGGGCTGTGGGGTCCGGAGGAATCGGGGTGCGGGGAGAGGGCCCCGAGTTCGGGAAGTCCCTCCTCCCGGCCCGGCCGTCTCAGCTGGATCCTGCCGTTATTTCCCCGTGTCCCTGTGGCTCTGCGCCCTCTTCCCGCCCCTCCTCTCTCCCACCTCTCGCCATCTCCCTCATCTAACTCATGGTTTCAATCCTTACTAAAACAATGTGCTTCATGTGCATCACGGCCCCAAAAGCCTTTCAGACTGAGATTCGAACTCAGGGCTCCACACTTGCAAAGCAGGTGCTCTACCGCTGCAGCCACACCTCCAGCCATTTTGCTGTGGACCCGTCCGCCTGGGCTGGCCTCGAACCGTGATCCTCCCAACCTCAGCCTCCCAAGTAGCTGGGCGGACAGACAGGCGTGAGCCACCCGCACCTGGGAAGAGAATTGGAGTCTAAAATCACTGAACATGGTATATCTCTCCTGGTTCAGACACTCAGTTTCTCTTCCTAATGTTTTGTAGTTTTCAATGTGTAGGTTTTACTGACTCAGGACATTTTTAATTAATTAATTTTATTTGGGAGGTTACCCTTTGTGGGTTTTTTCCATGGTCCTCTTACGCCTCCCAGGGTTACAAGTGCGAGCCATAGGTGCCCAGCCTCTTCAAACTTTTAAAGTATGATTTTGACACAGTGATTTTTTAAACCCACTTGATAAATTTGGTTATTATTACTTACCTATTGCCTTTAGGAATTCAGTTAAGATGGCAGCTTTAACTCCAAGGAAGAGGAAGCAGCATTTTTTGAACTATGACAGGTGAGTATCATCCAATACTTACACATGTGAATAATCTTACCTCCTGTTGTTCTCTCTCCTGTTTCCTAAAATTTCCATTTTTCTATTAGTCTGCTCCTTGTGGTTGTAGTAATAATCTATGTTCTAGTTTGAAAATACAGTAAGCTTTTGTCATGAAGTATTTAGTCCTTTGGAGAGAATCAAAGAAATAGCCGTTGTCTATGGCTAGGAAGTATGTTAAGTCTTTTATGTCCTCCTTTTTGTAGAGTAAGTGCTCATCAGTAAGCAGCACTACAAAGTCTGTACGCAGTGATTCCCCCTTACCTGCAGTTTTGCTTTCCATGGTTTTCTTCACCTGCAGTCAGCTGTAGTCTGAACATATGAAGTGGAAACCTAGTGGCATGGTTCAAGTAGTAAAGCACTGTCTAGCAAACGCAAGGTCCTGAGTTGAAACCCAATACTGCCTTCCACCCCTCAAAAACCAGATAAAAATATTAAGTGGAAAATGCAAATACAGTACAGTAAAATATTTATGAGAGACTTAGCATTTATATAAATTTTATTGTATCTCATTGTTATAATTGTCCTATTATGTTGTTAATCTTCTAATTTATAAACTCAATCTTGTAAGTTTGAATGTATTGAAAAAAATTCTATAGTATCAGTACAGTTTGGTACTATCTGTATTTTCAGGCATCTACGAAAGGTCTTGAAATGTATCCCTAGTGGAAAAAGGGGACCACTGTACTCTACTCCTATGTCATAGCAGAGATAGAAATTCCTTCCCATAATAAAGGCCCAGGAAATCAGTTTGTTGCAGAGACTTAATCATTGTAGGGATAGCTAGTTGAACACATGCAATATCAAAGCTGCTTTGTAAACACTTTTCATGAACATTATTGTCATCTTCCTATGGAAAGATTTTTTTAATGCTTTGTTTGATAAAGACAGAATTTGAGAATTCTACTGTTTTTAAACTAAAACATAACGTGTATATATGTTTGGTGGAGAGGAATGTATTATTTTTGAAATGACCTATAGGAAGAATTTATGTAACAATAGATCTGCATAAATTTTGAAGGAAAATAATGAACTTATCAATGGACTTTGTTGCTTTTCATAGCCTATCATCAGATATTCCATCAAAGAAATTAATTTTGAACTTTTCTGAAAGTCTGTTTCCATCACCTAATAAAAAGCATGCTTGTCAAAGCAGTGATAAAAAGGAAGAAAAGTTGTATTGCTCTCAACAAGGTCATTTCATTTCAAGTCCACTTAAAACAACTAAAAGAAATAGATTGCCACCTGCAAATCACAGTTCACCATTTAAATCTGCTGTGTCGGCTGTATCTTTTTACAATAAAGACAAGTGGTACCTCAATCCACTGGAGAGAAAGCTTATAAGAGAGAGTAGAGGCATTTATCTAAAGACTAGTAGTAAAGATAAATCTTTTCCTGGTATGACAGAAAAAATGCAGGGAAAACCAGTCTTTACCAAGAAGAGGAACAAAAAACCACAGAAGAGTCTGACTGCTAAGTATCAACCAAGTTATAAGCACATCAAGCCTGTATCGAGAGGTTCTAAAACTTCCAAGCAAAATCAAAAGGTATATAAGCCAGTTGTGGAGAAGGAGAATAATTCTTATCCAGCTGAAAATAATCCTGATACTCCTCGGGTTCTAAGCCAAAAAACAAAACCACAAGTTACACTGCAGGGTGGAGCAGCATTTTTTGTTAGTAGAAAAAAATTCTCTCAGAAATGCTCTCTGGAAGATAAGCCATCACTGGGAATCACACAAAACAATAAATCAGAAGCGAGTGAAGGTTCTGCCACGGAGGCTCTATGTGAAAGGAAGGCTTTTGTGGAAAATCAAGTGCCAAAGTGTCTGTCATTTGAGAAGAAATTGAATATTGAATTACCAAGTGCAAGAAGTGAAAATGAGAAATTAATAAAGGTAAAAAAAGCTAAATATATTATTTTTAAAATAGCTGGCTAACGGACTTCGGTCTATCTATACATATGTAAAAAACATAGTTGAGTTTGATTTCTTTCCAATTTGAAGGGCTGTTTTTAAAAAGTCAAGTAGTATAAGGAATTTAAAGGTGGGGTAGAAAGATGAGACTTTTCTCCCTTTTTTGGTTCTAGGCAGTATTCTAGAATGTAAGTATATTATTTTTTGTTGTTACTTATTTGAGGTCTCTGCAACACCATTTGTCTTATTTTTAATTTTTAATTTTTTTTGTGTGGTTCTGGGATTTGAACTCAGAGCCTACATCTCTAGCCACTCCACCGCCTTTTTTTTGTGATGGGTTTGATAGGGTCTCACAAACTGTGGCTTTGAAATGCATTCTTCCTTATCTCTGCCTCCAGTAGCTAGGATTACAGGTGTGAGCCACTGGTGCCTAACTTATTTTAAATTTTTTTTCTGAGTTTCACTTTAATTTAGTGCTATCTCGTAGTAGTCTGAGAAGCTGGACTTTTGCACATCTTAAATTTGTAAAACTGGGCTCTGCTACCTCATAAGATTTTGTTAAATACTCACTGCTAGGATTAATCTCTGCTATCTAAGGGTGAATCTGAAAGGATGGACGATCCCCTTTCTCCAACTCATTAGGAAGCCCTGGGAAATGGCAAACTGACAAATCTTCCCAGCATTTCTAAGATACTGTGGTTTTGAATAAGAGTTCTACTTTAATCAAGAGTGTTTTTCTTATTGGCAATGTGATTCAGTGCTAGAGTGCCTGCCTAGCATGTACATGGCCCTGGTTTTGATCCCAAGCACTGACAAAAAAAAAAGGCTTATCAGATTTGTCAGGATTTTTTTCTGCTTCTTGTTACATGTCAAAAAGTGGGAAACTGGAAGAAATCTGTGACTCTAAAACATTTTTCTTTCTTTGATCGTTCATTTTTTGAAGTCTACAACAAAAATTACCTCTTTCCAATTGGGTGACTTCTAGAGAATATTTGTTTTGCCATTTTAGCGATTTTTTTTTTGTTCAGTTCTTAAGAAAAGGAATGTCTATAATCATTCTGCCATCTTTATCTGAAAGTATAATACATTTTTGAAAAAAAATCACAAATTATAATGTATGTACTGTGACTTTTAAAAGGTGTTATATATTTATTGAATGCAGAGGAAATTTTCCTAAAAATAGACTAAGAATTGAGGATTTAAAAATCACATTATGAAATGTAATTTGGAATGAACTAGACTGTTTTAGAAACTGATCTATTGAAATTCATTGACTAAATAGAAAACAACTAAGAATTAAGATTTCCTCTACTTTGTCTTACCCGTTTATTCTTTTCAGGGTTCATCAGGTGCAATAGTTTCTTCAAAGGAATATAAACTTGATAAAAATAACCATTTTCCTTCAGAGAATTCTGTGGAGAACAAGACAAGTAAGTAAGAGAAAACTTCTCACATGAGTTTAGCTACTTGTAATAACACTTACGTGTGCCAATATTAAATTCAATATGTAGTAATTTTTTCTGGGTCTTTTTGTTTTTACTAGTGTACCTATTGTTGGTATCTCCATGTTTATCTCTGTGGCACTATTTTCTGTGGTAAAGCAGTATAGTATGTGGAAAGCAGGAGACAAAATTTTAGGTTAAAATTTGAGACAAAAAGTACCAATGCTTAATCTATGGTTATGGCCAAATTACCTACACTGTCTAGAGTTGAGAATTCTTATTATAAAATCATACTCTTTTACCAAAAAATAATAGAAAGGAGTAAAATTATCAAAGTCCAATTATGAGCAGAATTTGCTTTGCCATTGAAATGACTGAAATCCAGCTTCAGAAACCTAAAGTAAAGGGTTAATCTTAATTTTTGAGTTCCTCTTAGTTCTGAAATCCTATTATTAATTCACAGTGTTATTGTGGGGTTTTTTGTTTTTGTCATTTTGGTGATACTGAGGTTTGAACTCTGGGCCTCATGCTTGCTAGGCAGGCACTCTGCCAGTCCTTTTTATATGTGTGTGTGTTGGGTATTTTTTAGATAGGATCTAAAAAATCCTAAAGGACTTTAGGATTAAAGTCCTAAGTCCTAAAGGACTGCTTAGAACTGCAGTCCTTCTGATCTCTGCCTCTTGAGTAGCTGGGATTACAGGCATGAGCCACTGGTACCCGGCCACAGTGTCGTTTAATTCAGTAGTCTTTTCTAAAACTATGAGTATATAAAGAAGTTAATTAGCATTTTATCAACCAAATTCTTGGTAATTTCACCTGATTGCTTATATCTATAAATTTGAAAGTAAATTAAAATTTTAGAAGTAGACATGCTGAGTATAGTGAGAAGCTATAGGAAGGAAACAAAAATAAAAGCATAATCTGGAATAATAATCCTTAGAAGATCTAATGATATATAAAATAACCACTCAGAATGGTAATTATAAAGTGTAATGTTCATAAGTAATGTTTATTGAGTGCTGAAAGCATATCGGGCAGTACTAAGTTATTTAGTAGACTAAGTATTTAGTAGATGGCATGTTTCCAGTGAGTTGTGAATAAAACATATAGTAGAAGATTAATGGCTTCCATTTAAAATAGTTGTACATTTAAAAAAAAATTTATTGTAGTACATTAAGTCAATTTAAAGAAAAATATTTAAATAACAGATGGTCCAAGGATATGGCAAAGTCATTGAGGTCTTATACAAATGACTGAAGTTTATTATTTTATAACTACAATGAGTCATTTAATTCTCCCACAACTCTAGGAAAATAGGTTCTGTTGTACTCATTTTATAGACGAGGAAAAGTTAACATTTGCTTTTTACCAAATAGTACTGTCTCGATATTTTGTTTTTGAATTAACTGCTATTTTAACCTCACCCCCACTTTAAGAAAAAAAATAAGACCTTTACTTTACAATACTTTTAGATTTATAGAAAAGTTATAAAAGTAGTGCCGAGAATTGCTGTATGTCCCTCAGTGTATTTCCTTCACTATTAATATCTTATATTACCACAGTACCTTTATCAAAACTTAAGAAACTAGAATTAATATGATACTACTAAGTAACCTCTAGACTTCATTTGGGGTTTCCATTAATGTCCTCTTTCTATTATTCTAGAATTCAGTCCAGGGTACCATATTGCATTTAGGTGTCATGTCTCTTTAGTCTCCTCTGGTGTGACTTAGTCTTTTCTTGCTTCTGTGTTTTCATGACTCTGTAGTCATGAAAGTATGTAGTATGTCCCTGAATCTGAGTTTGTCTAATGTTTTTCTCACATTTAGATTGTAATTATCGAGTTTTGGGAAGAATACCACAGAAGTAAAGTGCCCTTCTGATCGTACCATATCAGGAGGGTACATGATAGCTGCATGATATCACTAGTGATACTAGTCTTCATCACTAGTTAAGGGCATGTTTGACAGGTCTCTCCACTGTGAAGTTACTGTTTTTCTTTGTCCATACTCTATTCTTTAGAAGCTTGTCACTAAGTCTAGTTAATCCTTTCACATGGCAGTGGTGATTAAGCTCTGTCTCCTTGGAGGAGGAAAATATCTACATTTGTTATTTGAAATTTCACTATAAGAAAGTTTTATCTCCTCTCCATTTATGTGTTCACTCATTTACATAACGAAATGAACTCATGGATAGATATCAATATGGATTCATGAATGTTTCTTTTACATTTTGGGTTTAAATCCACTACATTATTTTATTGCTCAAATTGTCCAACTTTTGGCCATTAGGATCTCTTTTTCAGGTTTGTTCTCTTTGGCATGTCTCATCTTTTTTTATGTGTATGTGTGGTACTGGGGCTTGGACTCAGGTCCTATACCTTGAGCCATTCCATCTACCCTTTTTGTGTTAAATATTTTCGACATAGGGTCTCGTGAACTATTTGCCCAGCTGGCTTCGAACCACAGTCCTCCTGATCTCACCTCCTGAGTAGCTAGGATTACAGGCATGAGCCACTGGTGCCCATTATGTCTCATCTTTTTGTTTTTGAGCACTTCCTTATTTCCTGACTCTACAAGATGTTTTAAGTTCATCTTAGATTTTTCCAGTTCCAGCAGTAGAATCAACAATTTCTCCACAGAACCCTGGTTACTTTTACTAGAGAATGATATTTAGAAACCAAGACTCTGGGTGTGTATGTTGCTACTGGAGTATTGTTGCTTCTAGATCCTCTCAGCCAACAGGGCTAGAAAAGATATACATTACATGTACACATATCTATAATTGCTTCTGTGGGTCTCCATCCACACATATTATCATGAATTCATACTGATATCTCAATCCAGTACCAGGTTTATTCTCCCCTTTTATATTTTGCATTTTGATTAATGATTCATTTGAGTTAATTTTTATGTAAGGTAAGTATAATTGTTTGCATATGGCTATACAGTTGTTTTAGCACGTTTGTTGAAGTCTGTCCTTTTCCCTTTTCCTTTGCTTCTTTGCTAAAAGTCAGTTGAGTTTATTTATGTGGGTCTTTTTCTGGGCTCTGTTTTGTTTCTTCTTTTCCCAGTACTTATCTTGATTATGGTTAAGTCTTAATGTCAAGTAATATGAATATTTTGGTCTTATTAACCTTCAGAGTTAACCATTTAAAACCTTGGTTATTTTGTAATACAAGTTATTGATGTTTTTTCCACCCCCCTACCAGTTTCTTCTGAGTCCATTGTCTATCCGATCTTTAGTGTGTCTACAATCAATACAAAAAGGTAGGACTTGGTTTTGCTTCAATGTTCAAGTTTCACTAATTATATAGATGCTTCCTTCCTCCTTCCCTCCTTTCCTTCCTTCCTCCCTCCCTCCCTCTTTTAAAGTGCATGTCATATAGCAAGTGTATTTAATGAAACCTTGGTTTTAGTTGTGTGAGTGTGTATGCACACTTGTAGTAGTCAGGAAGTTAAATATTATTTCTTTCTTGGGTTTTTTTTTTTTTTTTTCAGTACTGGGGTTTGATTTCAGTGCTTTTACATTTGTTAGGCAGGAGCTCTACTGCTTGAGCCATGCCCCCTAGACCTTTTTGTTCTACTTATTTTAGAGATAGGCCAGCCTGGACTGTAATCCTCCTATTTTATACTTCCTGCCATTGCTGGAATGACAGGTGCACACCACCTCACCCAGCTTCCCCCTCGCCCCCCTCAACTCCCCTCCTATTAAGATGGGGTCTCACAATCTTTTTTGCTCTGGTTGATCTAGAAGCACAATCCTGTAGCTCTCAGCCTCCCAAGTAGCTAGGATTATAGGCATGAGCAACCAGCCCCCAGCTTAATATATTTTTTACTATCAGTTTGAAAGCCACTTTTTCGACAAATGATAACAAAACAGCTTGGTTTGGCTTAAAGTATTGGATAGTTTTTTCCACTTTCTTGTCAGGTATTTTTCCATTGTTTGAACTTCTTATTTTAAGGTACTTGCTTTTTTGGTTTTGTTTTGTTTTACTTCTATTGTCTAGGAATTTCTACTTCTTTTGGTCCCTGCAATATGAGGGTCCTTTCATTAAAAGGCAAAAAGGTTGCAATTTCATTGCTTATAGAGCAAGCCAGGCCCAGTTAAAAAGGCAAGTGCTATTCAACTCTTAACTAGTAGATTCTTTAAAGGAAAAGAGGTCTAATGACCTCTTAGTGTCTCTCGTAATATTTGCAATATACAGTTTTTAAGTGAATTCTCTACGTTTTAAAATATTGGTGACTAATCCAAAGTTTAAACATGTGGGACAACCAAAATGTATCCACTGGTCAGATTTTGTCTAAGGGCTCTAGTTTGCAACCTCATAAGCCAAATCCCAAAATTCTTTCCTAATATTTAAAGATGGTTTCAACTACATCTACCCAATCAAAATATTTCTTTTCTTAAAAATTTCAGAGTACTGGGAGTCTGCTTTAGTACAAGGAAAACTGAACTTATTTGCCTCACTGCCCAAGTAAAATGTTGTTGGATCCTACATGGTGGTGGCTCTGGTTGTCTGTGGGTCTGTGAAATTTAGTATTAAGAGTCTGCTTATTTCCTATGTTACCCTGGTAATTTCTTTATACTTAACATGGGTAAATACTGTCATAGGATTTGATAAAGAAAAGAAAAACCAAGTCCTAGGGTAGTCAACTTCCAAAAGTGATTCTAGTATGTGCAGCTGAATCCATAGAGGAAAATTTCTTGGACTTGAAATCAGAAGACTATAGGATTTGAGTCTGAACACTGGATTCCCTAGTTATGTTTTCTTGAGTTAATTACTGATCCTCTCTGGGTGGGCCTCAGGTTTCTCATTGTTGTGTAATATTTATCAACTTTCTATTTCAAGATGTCTAGCTGACGAACAGTCTTCTATGGGTTCCATCACATGTCCTAACTTCCTGAAACAGACAAATATTCAGAAAAATATGAATAATAGAGATACAAATAAAGAAACAAAAGAGCAGCTCATCATTGTAAGTAAATTCAAAACAAAGTGCCTCTCCCCTCCCTTTTTTTTGGAAGCACTGGGGTTTGAACTCAGGGCATTACACCTGTTAGGCAAGTTGCTATACCAATTGAGCCACTCTACCAGCCCTGTTTTTGTATTGGGTTTTTTCAAAGAGAGGGTATCACAAACCATCTGCCCAGGCTGGCTTCAAGCCATGATCCTTCTGAGTAAGATTACAGGTATGACACTGGCACCTGGCCTATACAAAGTGCCTCTTATATGTGGCTTTCACATGTAGAATATGAATCAAACGTTTGTCTAAGCATTTCCACTTGGTATTGGTATTCTGAGTTTTGAAATGCCAGTTTTGCTTGGTGGTAGCATTTAAAGCTAATCAGTAAACTTTTGATAATATTTTAACAGACTTTGGATAGTATTTCTAATGAATGAGTTGTCTCCAGGTAAGAGAAGTTACTGTTAATCAACTAAAGATTTAATGGGAATAGCGATATAAGACTTGGCAAACTACAGCCCAAGTGTCAAATCTAACTTCACGCTATGTGAGCTAAAAGTCACTGTTACATTTTTAAAGTTTTGAAGAAAAAAAGAGTTTTTGGCAAACTATATCAGGCCTGAAAAGCCTTAAAATATTTAATTCTGGCTTTTCACAGAAAAATTTTGCCAGTTTCTTTATTAGACAGTGTACAACCAGGTACTTTAGTGGCTCATGAGAGAGAGAGAGAGAGAGAGAGAGAGAGAGAGATGGGAGTTGTAGGACATGACATTAGATATTCTTGACTTTTCTGTGCTCATAATTTATCTGTGCTTTTCCTGAATTTCTATTACATGCACTTATTTCTCATCAGTTCTTGAGAAAAGAGTTCAAACATTCTTTGAGAATAAAACCCAACCACTTGAGTTAAAAATAGTGTATAATTAATATAGAGGTCCTAAAATTTTTGCCTTTCCTCTTTAAGGCTTTTTTAGGCTTTTCATTTAAGAGGAAGCTGTGTTGTTCATCTTAACTATTGATTTTACGATTTAACTGTATTCCTTAGAGCAATAAGTTCAAAAGAATTATGGAGTTATTTTACACAGTCCTTTTGAAGAGAAAATTTCATTATTTTCATCAGTTTATTGCATTCATTCCATGTTGTTTTGGGAATGGAAGAGGATATAGTAACCAAACTTTCACAGTGCAAGTGTAGGAGAAAGATAAGGAGAAATTTGAATGAATGGCTATATGAACTTAATAGTTACATTGGGCTTTTCTCTCCCATTGTAGGACGCAGGTCAAAAGCATTTTGGCACTACTGTATGTAAGTCTTGTGGCATGATCTATACTGCTTCCAATCCTGAAGATGAAATGCAGCATGTCCAGCATCATCAGAGATTTCTGGAGGGAATCAAATATGTGGTGAGTCAACAATAGTGTTTCAGTTTGTTCTAAAAGAACAAACTGCCTTTAAACAGACATTTCTTTCCATTAAGTATTGAAAGATATTATATCCATAAATATTTCATTGCCTACAGTGCTTTTGTTTTGTTTTTCTTATTCTTAAAAGTGGAGGCTGACATTATTAAAAAGTTAGTTTTTTGCAGTGCTGAGCGTAGACCCTAGGGTCTTGCATATACTAGGCAAATGCTCTACCACTGAACTATACTCCAGCCTTACAGTTGGAGAGGGGGTAGGGGGTGTTGGGTCTGGGGTTCAAACTCAGGACTTCCTGTTTGAGCCACACTTCAAATGTATTTTTCTCTGGTTATTTTGGAAGTGGAGTCTCACAAACAGTTTGCTCTGGTTGACATTGAACCATGATCTTCCTGATCTCAGCCTCCCAAGTAGCTAGGATTATAGGTGTGAGATACTGACACCCAGCTCAAAGTTAGCTTTTTGTGGGGAGGCAGTACTGGGGTTTGAACTCAGGTTCTTACATTTGCTAGGCAAGCATTCTACCACTTGAACCATGCTCCCAGCCCCCAAAGTTGGCTTATAATAATACTGTCTCAGACTTACAGTCCTGATGTAAGAGTATTGTCCTAGATTGAAAATATACCCTGTATCCTGATCCCTGGCTGTCTGAGCAGAGCTTAACAGTCAAGATGCAAAACTCAGACTGAAGGAGAACCCCTCTCACTGCCATAGTTTCTTTATCTAGTAGCCTTAGAGTGTATGTGTGGAGGGGTGGGGAACAGCCTTTCCCAGGGTTTTTCTGTCCTTAGAGGAAAGCTCCCACCTCTTTATCATTGGCCATATCTTATCTTTATGATTGTAGCTGCTACTCACATGTATCCCTTTTCTCCTATTTTTATTGCCGTAGCTCATGCCTTTCCAGTATTTTCAGCCTGTTTATTAAAACAGCTTCCTTACTGGGACCCATCATGCTATGAGAATAACTTTTTTGGGTTTTTTTTTTTTTTTGCAGTATTGGGATTTGAACTCAGGGCCTCACACTTGCTAGGCTGGTGCTCTATGACTTGAACTACTCCTCCAGTCCGAGAATAACTTCTTAAAACATGGATCTTTGTATTTATTTATTTGTTTAGAGACGGATCTTATTTTGTATTTATTTATTTATTTGGAGATGGTCTTGCTATGTAGCCAGCTTTTGGCTGGCCTTGAAGTCATTGTGTAACCCAGGCTGGCCTTGAGCTCATGAGCTTCCTGCCTCAGCCCCCTGAGTACTGGGATTAGAAACCTTTACCAACACACAGGGCTCTCTACCCCAATATTAGTAAGTTTTTCTTGTATGTTTTTAAAATATTTTTACAGCTATACATTTTATATTTAGATCTTTAACCCATTGGGAATTTTTTTAAGGCATAGTATTAGAGATGGATCTTAACTTTGCATTTTTCCTAAGATTCAGAAGTCCTAACATTACTGTGTAAGCAGTTCATGTTCCCCACTGATTAGCAATGACACCTTTATTCCCAGATATGTCAGTGGACACTATTCTACACCATTAATCTCTTTCTGTGTCAGTTCCACGCTGTTTTAAAAGTAACTTCACGTTGGGCATTGTGGCCTATAACCTCAGCTACTTAGGGAGGAGAGATCAGGAGAATTGAGATTTGAGGTCAGCTTGGGCAAAATATCAGCGAGACCCCCATTTCAGCCATAAAGCTGAGCATGGTGTCACACATACTATAATAACAGCTATGTTGGAGGCATAGTTAGGAGGATTGTAGTCTGAGACTGGCCCAGGCAAAACCATGAGACCTTATCTGAAAAATAACCTGAAGCCAAAATGACTGAAAATGTGACTCAAGTGGTAGAGCACTTACCTAGTAAGCACAGGCCCTGAGTACAAATCCCAGTACCACCAGAAAGTAGAAAAATAAATGTACAGTAGATCCTTGGTATCTGCAGGTGTATGGCTCAAAGGAGACCACTGTGGCAGAAGAAACATGAAGCATGGAATTCAGTACTTATTGCAGATATTGATCCATTTTTCCATAATGCTGCCCCACTTCTGCTAAAGGCATGCTACATTTTCACTTAAATTAAGCATGTTAACTTTTACTTGGCTTTTTGGGCACCATTTGCTTCTTGGGAGGCAGATAGTTCAGGGCAGGAAAACACTTAGTAGATCACGCAATAATTTAGACACAACTGATGATAACAAAAGACAGATCTGTGCATCAGCTGAGCTGCATAATACACATGTGGGAACTCAGAATTTTTGTTTTTGAAATACCTATTTACTTTTTATTTATGACTGCACTTAGTCAAAGCTATGTAATAAATCCATAAATAAGGTGGGCTTACTGTAGCTTCATACTCTGGAAATCTAGTCAAGTAAATTGCTTTTCATCCTCTTATTTAACAACTTGACTTTTATCCACACATTTACTCTTCCAGATAAAGTATAAAATGAACCTATCATCAAGTCCCCCCCCAATAAATAACCTCTTGGAATTTTGCTGAAAAATGTAGTCAAACTAATGCCAAATCTGTTTTTCATAATATGTCCTCCTGTTTAGGAACTCAGTATAACTCTGTTGATTCATGTGTTTTACATTCTTAAGGAAAGCTTTATCACTTATTTTTAATATTCCAGACTCAATCAATTACACTAGATTCCTCTATTTTCTGTATTGCTTATTTAGTTACCTCAACCTGGAATAACCACTTTCTACATTATGCTCATGGAAATTTTACCAAGGTTGAAAAAACTCTTGTCAGATGCCATGTCACTTCAACTTCATTCAATTCAACACTGGGTACACATGCCAAAGCATTGAGATGCAAGCCTACGACAGTGGGCTTGTAGTCTAGTCAAGTGTAGGGACAGAAATGTAAGTGCTTATGTATTACAGATGTCACATATGCACAGAAAGGATTTGTTGAGGGTAAACGTATAAGCAGAAAAATAACTTAGCATGCAATCTTTCCAGGACTGTACCCCTATAATATACTATACACTTAGAAAGATAGGTGGCAGGACCGATGGGTGGAAATACAAGGATGAGAATTTCCTGATTTAAGAGGTAGCATGAGCTCAAGGCTGCCCACTTCTACAGAGCTAATTAAGGTTTGCTGGGTCAAGTCTATGATGAGTTGAAAGGAGAAAGTATTTGAGCTTTGGTGTCCTGTAGATTTCTCTTGGGCCAGTAGATTCTTTCTTTTAAGCCCTCACTTGGGATTCAGTTTAGCCTACTGCCTACCTCAAATAATTGAGCACTTCTTATTCTATGTTCCTATGAAGAGCTTGGTTCTTATTTGACTTTGTTTATAACATTATATAACATGTCACCCATTGTCAGCCCATTGAAGGGACCTTGTCTTAAGAATCTTGTCTTTCTATGTTACTTTTAATTGGATTTCATCCTATCTTTTTTGTATCATTTATTGTTTGGCCTTTTGTCCTCTCCAGACAAATTGTTTAATGATCTTTTTTTGTCTTTTTTCTCCTTACAAATTAAACTTTTTAATTTTTTTCCTGTTTGACAGAGCTGGAAAAAAGAACGGGTAGTAGCAGAGTTTTGGGATGGGAAGATTGTGTTGGTGCTGCCACGTGACCCAAGTTATGCTCTCAGAAAGGTGTGACACATTATCTTTTTAATACTCTGCTCTAACCCCTTGGAAACCAACCTGTGTTGAAGTATAAACTGCTTTGCTGATAGATAAGCCACTTTGGTGCATGCTTAAGGATGAGTTGTAATAGTTCATACACAACCAAATCTAGAACTGTAAGATAATTGAAGGAGTGTCATCTTCTACTTGTGAAAGATAAAGTAAGCTTTTTGGCTCTTGAGAAATTAATACCCAGTGTGTTGTTGGGTTCTTTCTTTCTTTCTTTCTTTCTTTCTTTCTTTCTTTCTTTTTTTTGTGTGAAAGTGATAGTAAGGTTTACTAGGAAAGGAATTCACTTTCAGTAGACAGAAAGCCAGTCATTCCTAGAGAGAGAATGAGAATGATCCATGTGTTTCTTGAGCTCGATATTTGGCCAACACAATGACTAAAGCTGATTTCTAAAGTAAAAGATGTATGCATCAATAGTGAAATAATATTGGGGTGTGTAAACATTTTGTGCTCTTTAAAGCAAATTTACTTTTTGGCTTTTAATACCATTAGGTAGAAGATGTTCAGGAACTTGTTGATCATGAATTGGGCTTCCAGAAAGTTGTTCCCAAATGTCCTAACAAAACCAAAACGTTTCTCTTCATATCTGATGAAAAGAGAGTAGTTGGGTGTTTAATTGCAGAGCCCATCAAACAGGTATGGTACATGTTTTTTAAATTATTAACAGAATTTGTGAGAAAAGTTCTTAATAAGCAGTTAAGACTTCTACCATTAATGACTTTTTTCAATTAAAATATCCTTGACCATGTGGATAATTGAAACTGTTTATGTCATGTTTGGAATTTTGGCAAATACTGGTATTTTGTTCATGCAGTCATTTCTATACTCAGACCATCAAATGCAGTAATTTTAGACCCAAGTTACTAAACGTGGTTTAGTGAAGATATAATATACTTGACAAAATAATTATTACTTGTCTTTTAATTAGAATGTACTTTAGATACTAATTAGCAATGTTCTAGAAAACAGTTTCTCTTTGTGTTATGAGATGTTAGAACAGCAGCTGGCTTATGTTATGGCAGTAAAAGTGATCACTTTGGCCTTTTTTTTCTTTTCTACTACCAGCTTTATTAGGGTGTAATTTGACAAGTGAAATGTAGACTTTTTTACAATGTACATCTTAATGTTTTGATATGTGTACATTGTGAAATTACTAAATCAAGCCAATTAACATGTTTATCAACTCACTTTTTTTGTGATGAGAACATTTAAGATCTCCCTTAGCAGTTTTCTAGCATACCTTAACCATAGTGGACATACTGTGCCACAAGTCTCTAAAACTTATTCATTCTGTCTACATGAAACTTTTTATATCTGGGCCAACATTTCCTCATTACCCCCATCCCCATTCTCTAACTCCTGGCAATCACCTTTCTACTTTCTGCTTCTATGAGTTCACTTTTTTAGATTCTACAAAGTTAGATCATGTAATATTTGTCATTTTGTGCCTAGCTGATTTTGCTCAGCATAATGTCTGACAGGTACATACACTAGTCACAAATGACAGGTTTTTATCTTATTTTATGATTGATTAGTATTTCTTTGTGTGTGTACCACATTTTCTTTATTCATTCACTGATATACATATAGGTTGATTCCTATGTATAATGCTACAGTGAACCTGCAGCTAGTTCACCTCTTTAAATTTATTCCTAAGTATTTTATACGTGGGATTTGTGTTATACATGGGATTGTTATACATGGGATTGTTTTATTGATTTTTAGGAAATGGTTCCTTGTATAGAAATGCTACTGATTTTAGCATGTTGATTTTGCATCCAGCAACTTTACTGAATTCTTTTTTTTCTAACAGTGTTTTAGAGGAATCTTTAGTGTTTTCTGTATATAAGATCATATTATATCTTTGATTTGGATGTCTTTATTTCTTTTTCCTATGGCTAGGACTTCTAGTAACATGTTGAATAAAAGAGTGGGCATCCTTGTCTTATTCCTGATCTAAGACAAGCTTTCAAGTTCACTACTGAGTATGACACTAGCTGTAGGCTTATGAAATAATGGCTTTTATTGTATTAAAGTACATTCTTTCTATATTGAATTTGCTGAGAATTTTTATCATGGCACAGTGTTGAATTTTGTCAAATGCTTTTGCTGCATCTGTTGATAAAGTTGCATCCTTCATTCTAATGTGGTATATCACATTCATTGGTTTACATATGTTAAACCATTCTTGCATGCCAGAGATAAATCCCACTTGACCGTGGTGTAAGAGCTTTTAATGTGCTATTGAATTTGATTTGTTAATATGTTGATATGTTGAGTTTTTGCATCTGTATTCATTAGGGATATTTACATATGTTTCTTTTGTTTGTTTTGTTTTCTCTCCCCCCAGCAGTACTAAGATTGGCCTTGCACTTGCTAGGCAAGTTCTCTACAACTTGAGCCATGCCCCCACCCCAGCCCTGAAATTTTCTTTTCTTGTAATGTGTCCTTATCTGGCCTCTGTAAAACTGACCTTGTAAAGTGAGTGTGGAAATCATCAGCGTATTATGTGTCTTTTAAAAAATTCATTCAGCCACTCTCTTTTGATTGACTCTTTACTTATATATAAGATAATTTTTTTTTTTGCGGGGGAGGGTTGGGTTTTTTTTTTGTTTTGTTTTGTTTTTTTTTGGTGGGACTGGGGTTTGAACTCAGGGTTTTGTGCTTGCAAAGCAGGCTCTCTACTGCTTGAGCCACACCTCTAGTCCATTTTACTCTGGTTATTTTGGAGATGGAGTCTTGAGAAATAATTTCCCTGGGCTGGCTTAGAATCTTGATCTCCTGATCTCGGCCTTCCAAGTAGCTAGGATTACAGACCTGTCCCACTGTGCCTGCCAGTAATTATTGATAAGTTAGAATGTTTTGTTGTTTTCTGTTTTGTGGATTGTGTGTTCTTTTCTTCCTCTCCTGCTATCTTCCTTTGTGATTTGATGGTAGGCCTTTGTAGTATGTTTTGGTTTCTTTATCTTTTGTGCACTTACTATAGGTTTTTGCTTTGTGGTTAGCATGAGCCTTACAAAAACATAGTTACTCTAGTCTACTTTAAGTTGATAAGAATTTAACTCAGATGATATAAAAGGTGTGTACTTTTTCTCACCTTACACTTTTTATGTTTTCAAGGTTGCCTTTTATATTTTCTTATATTATCTATCTATAGAAGGCATTTTCCTCCTTTGATCTTAGACTGTTTATGTAGTGTTAACAGGCAAATGTAGCCAGCTAACTCATGCACCTTCTCTTCTATCCATTCTCATTTCCAAAGCAAAGTTTTATTGATGGTAGTTAAAATTTAGTTAGATGCACACATTCCAGGTACGTAAAATAAAAAAATAATGACGATACTAAATGCTGGCAAGGATTCAGGGTAACTAGATCTCTCATGTTAGTGAGAATGTAAAATGTCATTGCTATCTGGAAAAAGCTTGGCAGTTTCCATAAATTCTGAACATATATTTATTTACCTTATGTTCCACCAGTTGTATTCCCAGTTTTCATTCCAGAGAAATGAAAACATGTCCATTCAACACCATACATAAACGTTTATGGCAGCCCAAACCTAGAAACAGTCAAAGTGATCAATGGTTTGTTTATATATATATAATTTATTGTATCTGTTTAATTTTTTTTTACTGTTACATCCATTCAAATGAATAAAAGGAACAAACTTAATATGTGTTACAACATGGATAGGTCTTCTGAGTATTATGTGGAGGGAAAAAAAGCTAATCTCAAAAAGTCTCATGCTATGTGATTTCCCCTTATATAACATTCTGAAAATAACAGAATTATAGAGACAGAGGGTTGGGGGTGGAGTGCCTACCTAGCAAGCACAAGCCCTGAGTTCAAACCCCAGTAGCTCAAAAAAAAAAAAAATTGTACAGATGGAAACATTTAGTAGTTAACAGGTATTGGTGTGGCTAACAGTGGGAAAAAGTAGATGTGACTGTAAAGAGGTAGCAAGAAGGAGGACCTTTGAGCTGATACAGTAGTTCTGTATCTTGAGTATAGTGGTGGCTAAATAAATTTAGTGCACATGAAATGTCATGGAACGATTTGCACACATTGTTCTACTGTTAACTCCTTGGTTTGGGTATTGTAGAATGTTAATGGAAGATGTAACCCTTGAGAGGAACTGGGTAAACACTACATGGTTCATCCCTATACTGCTTTTTATTTTCTTGTGAATTTATAATTATTTCAAAATAAAGTTTTTAAAATTTAAATAGTCAAATTTCATAGTTAATGTGTTAAAGTCTTTCATGTTATCAGTCGTTTAGGTTATTGTATACACATTTTAGGACTGGGAGTTTATCTACATTGTAATATGAGAGTTTGATTTTATAAACTTTTTAATCAAAAAGAGGATATTTTCAGAATGATGCAGAATGGACTAGATTTTCATAATGATATGAAATGGACTAGCATAGGGTAGTATCTTATGCCACTAGAATTTTGTTAAGCATTGTGTAACTAAATGAACCAAGAATTCAAGACATAACAAAGAATTTTATTACTTTTCATGGACTTTTGATTAGATACTTTTGATTAAGGAAGTTTTTTAAAAGAATTGTTAACGCAAAAAAACGAAAGGAGACATGAACCCATCTGTAGATGCTTCTGTATGTCATTGTAGGCCTTCCGTGTCCTGTCTGATCCAAGTGGCTCAGAATCCTCGGGCTCTAAAGAATGTTCTAGAGCTTGGCAATGTTCAAATGTACCCGAACCTGCAATCTGTGGCATAAGTAGAATCTGGGTTTTCAGATTAAAAAGAAGAAAGCGCATTGCAAGACGACTGGTAGATACTGTCAGGTAAGCAAATGTGAAATACATCCAGACCTTAAACCCGGATTTTTAGCCTCCCAGAACCTCTCTTGGCTTATGAGCCAAAGGGAAGGATGAGGTAGAACACTTGTACCTAAATTTTGACAGAGTCAGGCCAAGGTTATCATTGGCACTGGAAGAAAATACTAGCTGTGCAACATTATAGCCAGTGCTTTTCAAACTACCTGTGATAATAACTTGTCACAAACACCTTGTTTAAAAAAATTAAAGTGGATTGTTAGAAATGGAAAAAACAAAACAAAAATATAGAAAAAACAGGGTGGAGGTGTAGCTCAGTTGTAAAGCACTTAGCTTATATGAGGGCCTGGGTTCAATCCCCAGTATCACAAAAAAAAAAAAAAAATATATATATATATATAAGACCAAATTTTGGTTTGGTTGGTTGGTATAGGTTTGCAGGGTCCTTTTTTGTTTTTTTTGAAGCAGGGTTTTGCTGTCCACACTGCCTTCAAACTCACGATCCTCTTTCCTCAGGCTCCTGAGTGCTGGGATTACAGGTGTGCTTCACCACACCTAAGATGAAACTTTTATTAGATTCAACCAATATAAAATCTCATTGCCATAAATGTAATTAATGTAAGCAAAATGTAGGTTTTTAAAAGTACATAAATTTGTACTTTTATATACTGCATGTTGCCAGGTCATTAATGCGTGCCATAATTCATAAATAGAAACAAAAGCAAACTAGCAGCCCAGGTGTGGTGACTCACAACTGTAATTCCAGCTATTTAAGCAGGTGGCCGTTCCAGGCCAGCCTGGGCAAAAAGTTTGTGAGGTCCCATTTCAACCAACAAGCCAAGGATGATAGTTCGTGTCTGTTATCCCAGCTATGTGGGAGGTATAGGTAGGAGGGTCACCATCTGAGGCTGGCCCCAGGCGGAGCATGTGAGGCCCTGTGTGAAAAATAACTAAAGCAAAAAGAGGTGTAGCTGTGGCTCAAGTGGTACAGCGCCTGCCTAGCAAACACAAGGTCTTAAATCTAAAACCCCAGTTCCATCCTCCACCCCTCCAAAAAGAAAAGGCACTCATAAAATGGGAGAAAATATTTGTATATGTTTTGTCCAATAAGAGTTTTCAGCTTATGTAAAAGTTATTTTTTTGTTTGTTTGGGTTTTTTTTTTTTGGGTAGTGCTGTGGCTTCAACTCAGTACTTCAGGTACTCTATCACTTGAGCCACTCCACCAGCCCTTTTTTATGTTGATTATTTTCAAGATAGGGTCTCACAAACTATTTGCCCAGGCTGGCTTTGAACTGCAAGCCTCCTGAGTAGCTAAGGTTACAGGTGTGAGCCACTGGTGCCTGTCCTTTGCTTGTTTTTAAATTGGGTTGTGTAGGCCTAGGTGTTGGCTCAAGTGGTAGAGCACCTGCCTAACAAGCATAAGGCCCTGAGTTTACATCCCAGTACCACCAAAAAATAAAACTTAACATAAACTGGATTGTCTTATTACTGTGTTATAAAAATTCTATAACAGGGCCGGGGACATGGCTCAACTGGTAGAACATCTGCCTAGCCACTATGAGGCCCTGAGTTCAAACTCCAGTACCAAAAACTAAGTAAATAAATAAAAACAGTCAGAGGATTTCATCAGTAGACAGTTATTTAAAGAAGAAATGCAAATGGTTGATATGCATATGCATCACATCTTTAGCTATTAAGAGAATCACAAGCCAAAACCACGGGAGATACAACTTCACACCCACTAGTATATCTACAGTTTTAAAAACAAAAATCTGAAGCATGGTGAGGATATACAGGAGATTGTTGTCAGGAATGTAACATGATGCAGCTGCTATGATGTAGTTTGAACGGTTAGCCCATGACTGACCCAGCACTTCTGCACCTAGGTATGTACCCAAGAGAAACTCCACACAGAAACTTGCACTTGAAGGTTCATAGCAACATCGCTCACATTAGCCAAAGAATAAACAATGCAATCAGTATGAAAGAATAAGTAATGTGGTATATCTATGCCATAACACTGGAATATTAGCCATGAAAGGAAAGTGGTACTGTACACATGCTTTGACATGGATGAACCTTGAAGAATTAGATATATCTTAACAAAGCAATTACCAGTTCTTCATTTTGAGTCTTGTGGTATATGAATTATATCTCAACATAAAAATTACCAATTCTCTGCTTTATATTTCTGTGTGCACACTTCGAACCAACCCTGTATATTAACTTTCAGAGTTTGTAGTGTGACATGCCAGTTTTATCTTATTCCTTTTTTCCCTCTGGTTTTTTTTTTTTTTTTTTTTTGTGGTACTGGGGCTTGAACTCAGGGCCTTGCCCTTGCTAGGCAGTACTAAGGCAGTACCATTTAAGCCACTCTGCCAGCCAAGTTTTATTATTGAATTACCTAATCTGGAATAGAAAGATGAGTTTAGAAACACAGTCTCTTCTACACATATCTGATGAATAGATATCAGATTATAAACCAGTGATCAAGCCTTTTGAGTTCTTTGCCAGTCTTACAGAATGCATGCCAACACCACTACAGGGATCTGCTCTTGGGCATAAAATCTTAGTAAAGCACAGATACTTACAAAGGGAATTCAGTGAGAAAAAATTGGTGTCTGTAGTAATTTTTATTTGATAGTTATGAAATACCTCTTTTCTGTACAGGTTGAGCAAATCTAATCCAAAAATCCAAAATTCTGAATGTTCCCAAATCCAAAACCTTTTATAGTTTCAGATTTCTGATTTTCAGATTAGGGATACTCAGCCTATAAAAGTCTGTAAATATTCCCAAATCCAAAATCTGGAATATTCTGTTCCCAAGCATGTCAGAAAAGGTAAATCTGATATGAGGAATACCAGAATCTAACTTGGTTCCACCAGGTAGTAGTCAGTGTTTCTCAAATTTGAAAGTCTATGAATGAGCTAGAGGTATTGCTAAAATGCAGGTGTGATTCAGTTGGGGAGGGGGGGACTGAGATTCTGCATTCTTAGTAAGCTCTCAGGCAATGCTGAATTTCTGGTCTGCAGATCACATGTGGAGTAGTTATCTGTAGGAAAAGATGAATAAAAATTTAGTCGCCCTCAAAGGAGAGAGAAAAATGTTCATTGAAAAAAATACCTTTTCTCACCTATCTGAGTTAGATATAAGTAATAACTGAAGATATATCCTGCGTAAGAGGAGCCTTCGACTCAATTCCGTCTGTACAGGAGATGTGTCTGGGTCCTCGCAGCAGTGGAGTACTGTTCCTGGGGTTTTACATAAGATGCTACTGAGGCTCAGTAAAGCCACAGGATGAGTTAATAAAAGGGCAAGTCAGCACACACACCTTCACCCAGATTCACCAAGTCAACATTCCCACATTTGCTTTAGCATTTTTTGCATAAGTATGCTTTCTAATTGTAGTTTGCAGTGCTGGGATCCAACCCAGCCTTGCATGTGCTTAAATTAAGCATGTGCTCTACCACTAGCTACAGCAACAACTAAGACTTTCTTAAATTCCGTAGTTAGGCCCCTTGTCCCTTTATGCTTTAGTCTATATTTCTTTTTCTTTTTGTCTTTTTTGAGACAGGGTCTTGCTGTGTAGCCCAGGCTGGCCTCAAGGTTGGGATGCTTCTGCCTCAATGTTCAAAGTGCTGGGATTACAGATGTGCACCGCCATGCCCATTTATGCTCCTTAATCTGGTAGTTTCTCAGCTCTTCTTTGTCTTTTATGACATTGAAGAATTTGGAGCATATTGCCAGTTAATTTATAGACAATCCCTTAATATTGTTGAACTCTTTTAATTTTCACTTTAATTTCTTTTAATCCTAGTTGTAGTCAAGATGCAGATTAGTTTTTGTCTTTTAAAGCTCAAAGTGTGAGTTTGGTTGCGAAAACAAAGTTATTGGTTAAAACTGGTGATTATGGCCAGCCTGGGCTATATATGAGACTCCAAACAACAACAACAAAAAATTGTTGGTTATTCTTTTAATTATTGTATTAGTTCTCATTACCAGGCATAGCCTATAGTCAGCTCTCTGGTTAGCATGGTTCCCTTTGCCTCTGTAGAATTTTTTCTGCACCTCAGTTTTCTCATCTGAAATGATACCATTAGACTTCCATCTCTAATATCTGAGACATTCCTTACTAAAAATGGTATTGACTTAAGAGTATTTTTTACTTAAATTGTCTTAGGTTTAAAGTTGTATCCATTGTTAACATAATCTTTTCCACTTTTTTTAGGAATTGCTTCATGTTTGGCTGTTTTCTTAGCACTAATGAAATAGCATTTTCTGATCCAACACCAGATGGCAAGTTATTTGCAACCAAGTACTGCAATACCCCTAATTTCCTTGTATACAATTACAATGGCTAAAGCCAATTTCATCTATAAAACGGATACTGTGTGGATAAGTTCAGATTGCTCCTTATACAGTATAAACTAACATCAAAATAAAAAATACTGAGATGCATATATGGACCATAGTTTTCTGCCTTATGAGTTAGAAAGACAGGAATAAATTTGTTGAAATTTATTTGGGATTCACAGAAGGGAAAAATCTTTAGATAACAGTGACTAGCACTCCCTCTCAGTCCTTTGTTATGAAACTTTATGGTGTCAACTGAAAAATGACTTGCCTATGTCAGAACATTGACAGAGAAAGATGGTTTCTATAGAAATGGGACCACTCATCCTTTATGAAGGCAGCACCCTTTAGACTGGGATTATTTCATGCCCCATCAGAAGCAGGGAGGCAAAACTTTTGATGTCCAATTTTAAATCTAGTTCCTGAATTCTTTATACAGAGTTCTTTATAGCTACTCAGTTAAGTATATTTACAAAGTGTTTTGAACTTTCAATTTGTAATAAGATGGTAAGAAATAAGATATCCAATATCCATTTTTGTAGAACAGAATTCTATAGCTTAATGTTTCAGTTTTTTAAAAAAATTAATCAAATGTACACCTGTGAAATTTAATTAAAATTATAGCTGCACTATTGTCATTTCATTAATTTTTATTGTATGAAAATGCTGCTTGTGCTACTTATCTTTAGAGAACCCACCATTGGTAATTGAGGATATTAACAAAATGAATGCCTCATTCACTTCATTTCATTTGTTAAATTTTTGACTTGTTTAAAATAACACCTCACTTGTTCTGAGACATGTGGAAACAGAACCAAGGTTAGAAAATAAATGTAAGCTGGTGGACCAGAGCACATGATGATCTTTTATAAATACCCTGCACTGAAATATGCACACATTTTTCCAGTGTAATTTTTGGATGCTTTTATGTAAAGCAAAAAATTCTTCACATTGTTTTGATTCTTAAACTCACTTTACTGCTATCTGAAATAAGATTTCAAGGAAGTGGTTTCCAGAGTGTATTACTCTATGTAGACTCTGTTCATTTACGGTCTTTCTTATTTGCCTATAAGTTAGCATGGCTCCAAAATTTAAAAGCCTGGATTCCAAAAAGGATGTGGAAGTGTTAAACTGTGTGTAACCATGCAAACATCTGAATGCTATTTTCTGCACTGCTGGTTTTCTTTTTTAATTCTTTTAAATATTTTATTAAGTTTTATTAATGTTATTTTGTTTGGTCAATGATTTTGGATGAGTCAATTAAAATTTTAACATTCTATTCTCTTATGCAGTTGAATGCTATGGTTTATTTCAAAATTATTTTTTATCATATAGCACATACCTGCAAGTGCAAGACCCTGAGTTCAAACTCCAGTTACCTCCCCACCACCATCCAAAAAAATGTTCTTTTAAAAAAAAGTAACATTCAGATAATAGAGAAATAGAGCTTGCTAAAAGAAGTAGTTTTCCCATAATCCCACTTCAGGTTCATACAGTATTTTACAACTTGATTCATACCTTGTATCATAAACATGTTGTATTTCAAGTGCCTATTTCTACTTTTTAGATGCATACCATAATTTGCTACTGATGCTGTTTGTAGTGTAGTTGGGTTTTTTTGTTTTGGTTTGGTTTCTTTTTAATCAAAGGATAACACAAGACCAAGTGCATCAAGAAGGCCTCTTAGCAATGATACCCAGCAGCAAGTGAGTACATCTAGCACCCAGATCTCAGTTTTTAGTGCCTTCCTCCAAGGCCGGGCACTGGTGGCTCACACCTGCAATCCTTGCTACTTATGGATTCTCCAAAACTACTCAAGAGATCAGAAGGATCACGGTTCAAAGCCAGCCCAGGCAAAATAGTTCACAAGACCCTATCTCAAAAAACCCATCACAAAAAAGGGCTGGTGGAGTGGCTCAAGGTGTAGGCCCTGAGTTCAAGCCCCAGTACTGCAAAAAAAACAAAGAAATACACTTCTGTTGTTTATATGCCCCCAGCTTATGGAAATTTGCCACAGCAGCCTAAAAAAGGAAATTAACTTTGTTTTAGCCTAAATTCTTAGCTGAGTTTTTTTTCACTTTTCCAAACTTCAGCATTGTTTTATTGGGTACAAATGAAAACAAAGTATTTCAGTTAGCTTATATTGAAAAGTAGTCAAGTTAGTGCAACATTTGGTTTTTAGAATTCCTAGATTTATAGTGTTAGGAAAATTAACATTTGATGATCCTATTTGTAGATCATCAGGCAAGGAAACCAGTACAGCGTCTGTATCAAAAGCTCTGGAGTGAAGTAACAGGTGGGTTTTCTATCCATCATTTGTATCACTTGGAGCATCATCCATGGGAATCTTGAGCACCATTTATTTAATGTTCAAAAGAAGAAAACTATCACAAATTAAAAAGATAGATAGGGGCTGGAGGCATGGCTCAGTGGTACAGCATGTGCCTAACAAGCATGAAGCTCTGAGTTCAAGCCTTAGTACCACTGAAAAAATTTAAGAGGTCATAGTAATTCTTTTCTTTATGGAGTGGTATGGCTTCCTAGCACATAGTATGTGCCTAGTCAATGTTCCTATCGTTCTCTCCCCATCCTCTTTCCTTACATATACACACACCATATGTGCAAATTCACTCGAATGATAACCATTGAGTGGGAACTTTTGCTTCAGAGAAGGCTTCTCAATTCATTGTACTGTAATATAAATGTTTCCATTAAATATTTGAATAATACTGAAATTCCTGGAATAACATTTGCTGTTTTGAAGAGACTCAAAATAGTCTGTATGTCTTAAAAAAAATCTCTTACAAATAAAATCTAATTGTTGCTAAATGACATGAAATTTGAAAACTGGAGATTCACTTTTTTGCTTTTCATTTGAAGTTTTTAAGATTTCTTATTAGCATAAAATAGTTGTACAGGGGATATATTGTGACATTTACATATGTGCTTACAGTGTATTTTAGATTACCATCTCCCCATCGTTTCTCATCCTCCCTCTCCCCTTAGAACAATTTCAACAGGTTTCATTGTTCATTTACCACATTTGCCCTCCTTTCCCACTCTCCTTATGCCCTCCACCTCCCACTGTACCTAGCCCTGGAAAGGACTTGGTTTTGTTTCCTGCCCTTCATTTTTTAAAGTGTATATTGGTAATTTCAGCAGGTTTCACCTTTAATCAGATTAAAACCCTCCCATTACTCTACTGCATTGTGTTCTATTTTCATACACAGATGCAATGTTTCAGTATTTTTCATTCTTTCCCTCTCCTGCCTCCCTGCAGTCCCTTCGGACCCACTAATCGCTAATACAATCATGTACTCTATGTGCATATATGTGTATGTAAGATATTTATGTATTTATATGTGCATTTGTCCTACAGGTCTAGCTCCCACATAAGAAAAACATTGACTGGCTTACTTAAGATGATCTCCAGTTCCATCCACTTACCTGCAAACAACATAATTTCATTCTCTGACTGAATACTCCATTATGTATATATACACCACATTTTCTTAATCTGTTTATCACTTAAGCTGATTTTTCAGCTTTTTCTAAGCACATTGTTTGCTGCACTCACAAGTTTATAGTATTTTCACTTAATGATCTTTATTTTTATTCTCATCAATAATTTATAGATGGAAGGAGATGCCAGGGGACATAAATGGTTCGTATTTCTTAGGCAGCTGCTGATTGTTTTATAAAGGTATAAATAGGCCTTAGACTGATAGCAAAGATTTCCTGACAGATGAGAAGGCTACCTGGGAGTCTTTTTTTAATTTGCTAATGCAGCACAAAGAATCCTGCTATGTCCTCAACCCAGTCACTTTTGCTCTACGAGGAGGCAGAAAGGCTGAAAAAGGCTAACACCTGAGACTTAGTTTCAGAAAAACATTTATTATAGCTGGTAGCAAACTGTAACTGTGTGCTAAGAATTCCCAGAGCCTGTCTATCTAGACTCAGGGTAGATGGTGGGAGAAGCATGCTGGGATTACGTATAATGTGTGCCATAGGTAAGTACTTGAACTTGCAGCTCAGTCCCTCGCATTAGTTTGGTCCCTCTTAGATATCCCAACTACCCAATTTCTCAGTGAAAAGTACTGATTTGTGTGTGAACAAGAAAGATCCAATTCATGCTTTATGGCTTATAGCAGGAACTGTTTGGAAAATCTAAGCATGACACAACATGTGAGTTCAAGTGAGGATAGTAGACCCAACTGAGTATCAGTTTACAAAGTTTTACATAGGAAGTCTGTAAATTAAGTCAACTTTCAATTTACTTTCTTGTCTTTAATAATATTTTGATGGGAGATACGCTAATGATCTGTTCCTTGCTATAATCTCAACTAAAAGACTCTCCAGTGAATTGTAAAAAGTGGTTCCTAAGTTTTTAAGAACCCACTTGTTGGCAGTAATTTTAAAAATCTGGTCTGTAGCCAAGTTGGTGAACCAGCTAGATTCACAATTAAATTCAGTAATCTTGAAAATTCTTAGGGAGCTGTGGCTCATAGAAACTACTAATCCAAATCAACCTCATTATGAAAATAAGGCTGAGAGGGAACGAACCTTCTCACATTTACTCGAGCTTAATGACAACACTCAAATTAGAATGTAACAACGCTGAGACAACCTACTACAAAAACTGACCTTTATTTGGTATTGTCCTATTCTTATAGCACAACTTTGAAATGCTTAAAATACAGATTAGTAGATAAAAACTAAAAAAGTTATTTTACAGAAAATATATTTAATAAATTAAGGCAAACATCAAAGATCAGGGAGAGGCAAGACAGCAGGACAAGTGTGACCAGTCTGGAAACTCCAAGAAGCTGCTCTCAAGAGCCACACTCTTCTCAGGTGCCAGTGACCAATTACTTAATAGGCACATCAGCGATGAAAGGCCAGCTAAAAGCTTGATGTTCTCAAATAGGATATGTACACTTACTTTGTACTATATAAAGTGCAAATTTTAACAGATCCACTAAAACAGAATTGAGAAAGATCCTTTATAGAAGTAATGGTCCCTCAATTCAAATTAACGTTAGATAGTTCTCAGCATTTGATTGCTAGAGTTTTAAGTCTGTATGAACAATATTTTTATACTTGTAGAGCTAGTTTTTAAGACTTCATTGAGTACCCAGTACAATACCCAGTGCTTATCACTGTAAAAATATGGTGCTAAAATAGGCCACTTTCAGATAGTCTAATAACTGCAGGTCACAGGAACTACATAAACAAATCAGAGCAAAGAAAACAGTTACATACACAAGCCACGCTTCAGGCTGAGGTCACTGTGAACATGATCACTGGTCATCTAGTTCCAAAGCTTCAACAATGTGTGCAGCAGAAGGACGATCTGTAGGCTCTTCATTAGTGCACACAGAGAAGAGCTCAATTACTTTCTGGTATGATTCATCCAGCTCTTCCATATTAATAGGTGGCCTGGTTCCCAAAGCTGCATAGTAGGCTTCATCATCGAAGTCACTTTCATCAAAAGTTTTATCTGCTCAGGAAAGAATGAAACAAGCAATCACTTAAGGTCATGGGAAAGAGTAACAGCTCACCTTCCCAAAGCAAGAATTCCTTGCCCAATATGCTTTCAACATTATTCCAGTCTCTTCAACTGCCCACCATTGAGGACATTAGCTGTCATCTTAGATTTATAGGTTAGCAGCCCTTACTCCTATGATGGCTTTCCAATCTATTTTCTTAGGGAAGGATTTTAAGGTAACTTTTTGTTCCTCTAGATCTTCTCAGTATATCTCCCTATTCAGGATCAACCTGTATTTCATTTGTATGAGATGAAACCTAACCAAATTAGTATTAACACAATCTGTATCTTAGAAACTATGCCACTAAATCAAAGAACTTGCTCTTGTAAATTTTAACTTAATGGACAGATAACTGTATAAACTAATCTTCAGTAGGAAAAGATATATTAAAAAATGCCTATACCTTCATCATCATCATCATCTGGGAGATTAATATGTGGAATAGATAAAGTCATCATTTCCCACAGAGTAAGGCCAAAGGCAAATATGTCTGCCTTGTCAGTAATGATGCCATTCTCCTCCAAAGCTTCCTTGGGTTTCCATGGCTCAGTACCAATGTAACAGGCCTCAGGATCAGTCACTGAAACAAGCAAAATATAAATAAAATAATCATGAGGGCAGGTAGCAGGAATCCTAAGAAAAGCAACCCAAAGAAAATGGGCAAATGACTTGAACAGGGAGTTCACAAGTTAATCATCATAGCCATTAAATATGAAAATGCACTCCACCTCATTGGTAAGGATTACATTCCCCTCTAAGACTGGTAAATGTAATATTCAAAAGCTGCTTAGTAAAGACATGGGGAAACACCAATTCCTTTTGTTTAAGTAGTGTAATTTATTTCATGAGTGGGACTTTTTGGGAGGTGGTACTGGAGTCTGAACTTAAGAGTACTAAGGAAGTACTCTGCCACTTGAGCCACCCCTCTAGAGTGGGAAATATCAATTCTCTTGGAAGGTGGCGGGTATAAATAGAGCATGGATGTCAAGATTACAGACTTTTGCAATGTCAGCCAGAACAAGGGGACACAATGCTGACTGGAGTCTGCCATCCCTACGACCCACGGTAACCAGCATGAGCTCCCCCACCAGAAGAATATGAAAAAGCAGAGCAGAAGAATATGAAAGTGCTGAGCTGCTGGGCTCTCTGCTGTCACTCCCAAGCAGAAGCAGGAAAAAGCAGATGAGGAGAGGAACCCAACTAGCCTTGTGGCTTCGCGTCCAAGCCTCAGGCCCCTTTGCCTGCGTGCCTGGAGGCAGTTCCACCATGCTTACGTTTCTTCCTGTGGTGCTCACAGGCTTCAGCACTGATGGCATTCATTTTGCCCTGAGTCTGCAGTGGGTCCCTTTTGTGCTTCCTTCCCTCAGGTAGCCTCATCCCCCCCTGGGCCACTCCTGGGAATGAAGGGGTTACCCCTTCCCAAGTGTGTTTAGTTCCTGTGGGACACACCCCAAAGTATTAAAAGTAGCTTTGTAAAAAAAAAAATTACAGACTCTAGAGCCAAGCATCCTTGCCTGACTTCACAGACATAGGAAAGCTGTGTGACCCTGAGCTGAGTAACCGTGAGGTGACACAAGGTGAGGTCCACCTCTGGACCTAAGGTTCTGCATCTGTAACTGCTGTCAGGAGGCTGAGAATGAAGTTTCTTCTCAATACTTCCACGACTACTAAACCAGGAGAAAAGGAAAGGGTCGAATCACTCATGGTCCTTAAAGCTTCTGCCTGGGAATGACTTCTATCTAAATGTTAAGAGTCATTGTCAATTTGAATGAAAAAACCAGCAAGAATTCTGATTGGGATTGGACTGATTCTCTAGGTTAATCTGGGTTAAGAATTAGCATCTTAACAGTACTGACTCTTCAATCCATGGTCGTATTTTTCTAATTTTAGTTACATCTTAGCAATGCTTTGTGGTTTTCCATATAGAGGCATTAGACTTTTGTTGGATTTACTTTGAAATATCTTGGGGTTTTGCCAGTTATAGATAGAAATTTTTAAAATTTAATTTTCCAATTATTTATAGATAATACATAGAAATACAATAGCTATTTTACAGATTCCGTGGATGCTGAACAGAAGTCAACCGTAGAAACACACAGGTCTTAAGTTCTCTTTGTGGGAATGTTTCTTTGATATAGAACTAATTTCTTCCTATCAGTTTTGGTAATATTTTTCAAGGAAATCATCATTTTAATTTAAGTTATACACTGGCATAAAGCTGCTTGTAATAGTCAGGTTTTCTTCCCATGTGTAGAACCTACAGCTGTGACCCTTTACCCCTGATATTCTTAATCTAGGTGAGGATTTATGCCTTTCATTATCATTTCCAAGGACCAGCTGTTGGCTATATTAATATTTGCCAGTGTTTGTTTTCTCTTTCACTGATTTCTGCTCCATTTTCCCATTCTCTTCCTCTAACATACTTTGGATCTGTTTTCTCTTCTAGCTTATACAGCAATGCAAAACGCAAGTCACTCATAGCTCGAGATTTTGCCTTTAAGCCTGCCTTAGCTATTTTTTCTTTCCTTTTTTTTTTTAGTACTGGGGCTTGAACTCAGGGCCTCACGCTTGCTATGCAGGTGCTCTACCACTTGAACTTGAGCCACTCTGCCAGGCCTTTTATGTGATGGATTTTATTGAGATAGGGTCTCACAAACAATTTGCCCAGGGCTGGCTTTGAACTGTGATCTTCCTGGTCTCTGTCTCCTAGGTAGCTAGGATTACAGGCATGAGCCACTGCGCAAGACCTTACTTTCTAAATATTTTGTAACAAATTTGATTTCTTCTTTCAGCCAAGATTTAGAAATGTTTTAAATTCCGAAAAAAACAAGTTAGAGTTTTTTATTCCAATTTGTTTACACATTTCTGGATTTATAACATTGGTATCAATGAATGTCAACTATTAGACTACTTTTGTATTCTGAAGTTTTCTTTTTTGGCCTAGCGTGTGGCCCATTTTAGTAAGTATTCTAATGCAGAGATATCAACCTGATTATTTACTCAGATCTTCTTCATCCTTAGTTTTGTCTATTCGATCTATCAAGGTTTGAGAAATTACACTTTAAAAAGTCTCACTTTTAACACGGTGTGGTGACACATACTGTACTCTTAGCACTTGGAAGGCAGAGATAGTCAGACCTCAAGTTTGAGGTCAGCATGGACTACAGAGGGAGAACATCTCAAAAAGAAAAAAGCTTCACTTTTATTGTGCTTGACAATTTCTTTAACTTCCTAATGTTCCAACTTTGTAGCAATTCCTAATGTTCCAACTTTGTAGCAATTATTTAGCATAAAGATTCTTTTCAGTTCTATTTTTATTAATGATTGAGACACTGTTATAGTTACTCTATTTGTCCTGGCTTTTGCCTTTGACTTGTAGTCATTTGCTACCACTAGAAACCAAGGTTACACATATGTCCACAACAGCATCCACTGACCGTCTTTAACTCATACTAAAAATATAATCTGCTATAGAATGTATTAAAAGCAGACGCATTCTCTTGAGGCTGGCTCTTGATTCTCACCAAGAACATATCTTAAATTTCTGAGAGGAGAATGGTCATTATTTACAGTATCAATTCTTCTTCAGCAGTGCTGGGTTTGAACTCAGGACCTCACGCTCGCTAGGCAGGTGTGCTACCACTTGAGCCAACCCCCCCCACCCCATCCCCCCAGTATTACAATACAGAGAATGAATGAATGAGCTGGGCTGTGACAACGGGCAAAAAGGAGAGTGGCTAAAAGCAGCACTCCTCTTTACTGGTGCATTCCAGTTTCCCAAATCTTATCACTTTGCTGAAAGTAAATAACTCCCTTCACAAAACCTCATTAAAATTATATTTTTCCATTCTCAGATGTTTTATAGCTTAAAAATCTCAATCAGTTAAAATATTTACTAATCAGTTAAAATATTTACTAATAAGGGCTGGGTGTGGTAGTACATGCCTGTATTCCCAAAACTTGAGACTGAGGAAGGAGGATCATGAGTTTGAAGCCAGCATGGGGCATAGCGAGACCCCATCTCAAACAAATATTGAATTATATTAAATTAAATCATATATATATATTAGAGATATATATACACACACAAGAAAAGAATATATATATATTTGCACATATCTATACACACACTAATGATACCCAATACATATACTCACACACTAATAAAAAGTCAATAATTCATACTCTACACGTGGTAAGGGACAGGACTGGATGGAGGCTTAAGCAGAAGCAAGGTAGAAAATGAGGGAAACATATACTTTTCAAAAATAGTTAATTGTTGAACTGTGTGGATTTATTAAGTATCTTAAAAATGTCAAAATTAGAAATTTAAAAATTTTACTAAAAAATTGTAAAATACTCTGCTTACCAGTCATATTTTCATCCAATGGTAGAGAGACACCTACATCACAGATCTTAACTGTTTCAAAATCACCTTTAATTACAACATTGGAAGACTTGATGTCTCCATGTAACAGCTTCTTTTCTTGGTGCAGATACTAAAATTGTAAAAAATTAAACATGTGAGCAGAAATATGAGCTAATTAAAAAAAAAAAAAAGCAAACAAAGAAACAAACAAAAAAACCACCTAGTGCTTCATGGCTGTAATCCTAGCTACTTGGGAGGCTTGAGATCAGGACTGTGATTCAAGGCCAGCCTGGGCAAGTCACACGCAAGACCCCGTCATCTCAACCAGTATCTGGGCACGGTGGTGTGCACCTGTCATCCCAGCTGTGGCAGAAGGCACAAAATAGGAGGACTGCAATCTAAGCCATCCTGGACAAAGAGCATGACCCTATCACCAAAACAACCACAGCAAAATGGCTACAGGTGCGACTCAAGTGTGAAAGCACCTGGCTAGCAAGCATGAAACACTGAGTTCAAACCCAGTATCACCAAAAACAACACAAACAGAACAAAACAAAACACCCTTCAAATAAAATACATGTCCACCATTTCAAATTATTTGAAGCCAGGAAGGTAATATCTCATGTTATCTAAAAGGTTCTTTAAATCTAGATGTCTTTAAAAAGTAGACATCTACTTTTATATCAAAAGGCGACTTCAAAATACACTGCAACTTCACTTGAGGCTAGTAGATTTTGTTGTTGTTACTGTAGTTCCGGGGATTGAACCCAGGGCCTCAAGCATGCTAGGGAAGCACTCTGCCACTTGAGCCACATCCCCAGTCCTTTTGTTTGTGTTTTGTCTCTGAGGCGTGGTCTTGCTAACATTGTCCAGGCTGGCCTGGAACTCATGATTCTACGCCTCCACCTCCTGAGTAGCTTACACCATTAGGCCAGGTTAAAGCTAGTACATTTAGAAATAATTTTAGCTACTTTACAATGGGGCAAACATCACTCAAATTGTCGAGATAATACAGAACTAATAAGATGACTTAGGGCCACATATCATTCACAAGCAGAAATGTAATCTAAGACAATGTTTTATTTTACATATTAATCCCTTTAATGATAGCTACATTTTAAAAATATCCTCCAAATTGGTTTTTTTTTTTTTTTGGTGTTACTGGGGTTTGAACTCAGGACACCATGCTTGCCAAGCAGGCACTCTACTGCTTGAGCTACTCCATCAGCCCTTTTTTTTTGAGACAGGGTGTCTCCAAACTATTTGCCCAGTACTGGCTTTGAATCACGACCCTCCTGATCTCTTTCTCCTCAGTAGCTAGGATTATAGGCATGTGAGCACGTCTCCATGAGCTCAGCTTGGAAATGATGCAGAGGTCATTCTTGGTAAAGATATGCAATGCCACTCATCATGTAGTGAACAGGACTAAATATAGGAACACTGTAATTTATTAATACCATGATACATATACATTTAAAGTCATTAGGTATTAAATAATTCCAATTTTTGTTTATCCTACCCATTTAGAATTAGTCTTTCCATAAATGTTTTAAAATATATAATCTACAAACAATTTTTTTTTCTAATTCATTCCATAAACCAATTTCATTTGGGTCTTAACTTGCAACTTTGGTACCAGCTCCATCATTACCTTTTGAGTCACCCAATATTTTTCTGGAGCCACTGCTGCTAGTATTTAGTTTGTAGATTTTTAAAATTCTTACAGTGTGCCAATAATTTCCAATGGCACAATAATTTTCACACACACCACTGAGAGCTTTTCTCACTGGACCTATAAATGTATACTTGTGATGTCAAAATCGAACATCCTACTAAGTTATCTTTAGGAGGTTTGTTTTTATGAGCCGGTGTTGGCTGTACCTCCAGGAATAATGACTGAATTTGCACTAAGTTTGTTGATCAATTTAAGTCTAACAAGGGATCTCTATAGCAAAACTACCTTAGGTTAGCTCAGGTTTATGTAAGGGCCTCTAACAAAACTTTGCTGAACAAAATAAAGAAATGGTGTACTCTATGAGACTTTATAATGACTTGAACTTAAAAGAAACTCCCGTTTTTGGAATTTAAAAAAATGTACCTTGTAATTAGATATACCAAGTATTTCTTTCATAGTTCACAAAAGTTATTTGAAATACAATGGCATAGTTACCTTTAGCCCTCTTGCCATGTTCAAAGCAACTTTTAAAATGACAGCTGCTGGGAAAGGAGTTCTGCTGTCTTTGTTTCGCTCTTCTATTAAGTCATTGAGAGACTTGTCCCCTCCATACTCCATAGCAAGGCACAGGCTACCGTCGCTGGCTTCAGTGAAGGCACGATAACCTTAACAAAACGACACTTCCTTACTAGAGTACAGTGATGGACTGAAGACACGGATCTGGACCAACACTGACAAGCACTGAAACAGCTATTAGTTACAAAACTACTACAACAGACGCAATTTTAAATGCTTTCAGTGTCAACAGTGCCACAAACTACATTTTAATACTCCATGCTTCCCTAAACAGGATGGCTTCACCAGCCTTATGTGGACTGAAACTGCAAGATGAAAACCAGGAAGCCATCCACATCGACCTAATTATCTAACTGAAGATCCTCTTCTATTCCTGGAATCTTTGTAGTACCAGTATCATGATGACGACATCTATCCTCATGAAATTTAAATATATACTTCAGAATTTAAAGTATTTTACACAAATTTTTATTTTAAACTATGACACTAAATTGCTTCCCAACAACCTATAGCCCCATCTACTTCATTTCTGCTAGTGAAGCCAGTTAAGACAGTATTCACACTGCTTCTAGACATACAGAATAATATCATACCACACCATCTACTTAAACTTACCCACAATGTTTGGGTGATGAAGGCTTTTCAAAATCTTAGCTTCATCAGTTAGTCTCTTCTGATATATAGTTCGATAATGTTCATTGCAGATAGGATTTATCTTTTTCACAGCCCAAGGAGAATGAGACAAACCTCTCGGAGATCTAATATACACATATATGTAAATATTTATATATATTTTGAAAACATACAAATGAATAAAAACCATAATACATTCTCAACTAACAAGAAATTTCAAATTTTGAAAAGAACTCAATAGTAATTTGTTTTAAGGCATATATTTAAAAGATTTTAGACTATCAAGACCTCTGGTACAGTTCTATTTCAACAGAAAGATGATACACTGAGAAAAGTCTGATAGCTATATGCTAGGAGAGGATAAAAAGATAAAGATAAGGATGGAGTGTTATAATTTCATAAATATTAAACTTGAAAACTATAGTATTTTTTAAAGTTTTCTATTCTAGCATGTCAGAATACCAATTAGTTATACAAATTTAGTTACATGTATCAGAGATGAATTATAGAATGCTAAGGACATAAATAGTCCTTAAGAAAGTGAACTTTCAAGAGATGTTCAGAAACACATGGCCCATAGATAATTATCCACAGAAAGGCATGCTATTCTTCACTTCAACAAGAACAAGTCACCTTACATTTTTGGGGGGGGTGGAGGAGGGAGGACTGGGATTTGAACTCAGGGCTTCGTGCTTGCAAAGCAAGCGTTCTTACCACCTGAGCCACATTTCCAGTCCATTTTGCTCTGGTTATTTTGGAGATGGGGTCTCACACACTATTTGCCCAAGCTGGCCTGGAACCACAATCCTCCCTATCTCAGCCTCCCAAGCAGCTAGTATCACAGGCATGAGCAGTAACCTTATGGCACCCAATAACCTTACATCTTTGCACACACATGCTCAAACACATACTTCAGGGAGAATAAGAAACATACACATGACAACACTGTCAACTTTTATTTTCTACAAAAGATTCATCCACTCAAAGAATATTTAAGGCATAAATATTTTAGGCCTGAATAAACAAACAGATAAAACAAAGTCAGGGAAAGACTTATGTGATGAGAAAGGCATATAGTTATAAGTAAAGAGAATCACGAAGATAAAATGTAGGAACGTAAGGGCACAAGGACTAGTGATGGAGCTTCAGAAGTTCAAGACAAGAAGCTGAACCTTAAGAACATAAAATAATAGATTGGGGCTGGGGACAGCTCAGTGGTAAAATGCTTGCCTTCATCTCCAAGGCCTTGAGTTCAATCTTATGCACTGCCCAAGAAAATCAAAATAATTTTAAAAACAGAATGAACTGAAGACACACTTAGCTTTGTACTCCGTAAGTCATCTAAGCTATTCTTAAAACTTCCAGTTTTAGATAACAGCAGCATGTGAGGAATAATCTCTCCTACACCATTCTATTATGAAAAATAGAATAGTTTCCAAAGCTACCTTATAGTTCTTCAGTGTTTAGAATTCCATAAAGAAGTCCATCTTCCTTTTCATACCATAGCCTATCTACAGAATGATAAGAACAGACTTATGAAATCTGAATAAAATACGTGGCCAAACTAAACAGTGGTTCACAGAAAAGACTAATAAAATAGGAAATTTCTTTTTCTTTCCTTTCTTTTTTTTTTTTGTGGTATTTTAAACTAGGAAATTTCTGATGTAATTACTCAAGAACTAACTAAACAAATAACTAAATAAATAAAAGGTACAAATTGTATTGATATTACAAATAAAAATGTATAAACTTTTGGATCTTTGGTTCAATCTTATTTTGGGTTTGTGTGTGTGTGTGTGTGTAAATGAAATCATTCCTTGAAAATGTACCACACTTGAGTACAGCAGAAATTTTTTAAAAATAAGTAAGGCCAATTAACTTAAAAGATAAAGTAGACAAATCCTTACAAAAATCTAAGAAAATGATTTAAGCAGACATTTACTCAATAGTTTAAAAATCTCTTTTTTTTTCCAGCACCAGGGTTTGAACTCAAGGCCTCATACCTGCTAGGCAGATGCTCTTACCACTTGAGCCACTCCACCAACCAACAGTTTAAAATTGTCCTACAAGAAATGTAAGACACAGATGGCTATATAGGTGAGTTGACCATACTTGCAAAGAATCTTTCATTCAATCTTTAACAAACTATTCCCTACAGAATGGAAAAGGTGTGTAGTGTAACTATTTTTTTTTAATATCAAAGAGTATCAGTAAAAAACAAGAAATCACAAATTTCACCTACTTATAGCATAGATATGAAAATTCCTAACTGAATCCATAAAGTTATTTAAAAATAATCAAACTATGTTGGATCTTATGCAAATTTGACTTAACATTAAAACATTAGACTTCTGGGGCTGGAGGCCTTGGCTTCAGCAGTGGGGTACCTGCCTGGCAAGCACAAAGCCCTGAGTTCAAACCTCAGTACTGCCAAAAAAAAAAAAAAAAGACTTCTGGATTAAAATTATAGCTTAAACACACGTATGCAATTTTTATATTTTCCAAGCTCCAAATATATTAGCAAATGACTATAATAAGACATGAACCCTTGCTGGGTGCTTGTGGCTCATGCTTGCAATCCTACCTACTTGGGAAGCTGAGATTGGGAGTATCAAGGTTTGAGGCCACCTGGGCAAACAGTTCATGAAACCCCCATCTCCAAAATAACCAGAGCAAAATGGACTGGAGGTGTAGCTCAAGCCGCAGAGGATCTGTTTTGCAAGCGTGAAGGCCTGAGTTCAAACCCCAGTCAAACCAAGAAAAACAAAACACGTACCCACCTACAAGAATGGAAATAATACCAGAGACATGAACAACAAAATTATAGAAGCTGGAAAGCAGAGGAAAGTGAGTCACTTCATAGGCCCAACTAACTACTTGAAAGTCATATGAAAAGCAAGAGGATTCTCTTCTATACCACTGTGTGGCCCCTAGCCCCAGCTTCTGATGACTGGAGATCAGCTCTGGGAGGAAATAAAACAGAGGGTCTTTAGTCTGAGGTTTAGTAGCAGTTGAAAACCTATGAACCATCCTGGAACAAGGTAATAATGACCATATGCATACTAACTGCTCAAGGAGTTTTTACATGTTTATGTACCTGTGCTAGCAATATCCAGATCAAGATATAGAACACTGGGTTAGAGGCATGGCTTAAGTGGTAGACCACCTGCCTAGCAAGTGCTAAGGCCCTGAGTTCAAAGCCCAGTCCGATCAAAAAGGAAGAAAGAAATCTTTCTTCTGCCACTTCCCCTGCTTATAGAAGCCAAGGAAAATTATATGGTAAGCTACTTCCCTTTTAATAATCCATCAGGCGGAAGCGAGAAGAAAAGTTAACAAACACCAGGTCTGGCAATTATCAAGACTCCAGGGACAGGAACATAGCATCCAGGTAGGATCACAAACATACCCCAAAGCTAGATAATTTGAATTTTCATACTGTTCTTGTCTCCAAGTACAGTAGAAGTATGGTTACATATTTGAATTTTCATACTGTTCTTGTCTCCAAGTACAGTAGAAGTATGGTTACATATAAAAACGTTGACCTGGAATATCATACTCACCTCTTCATTAAGTAAACATTTACCCCGGTCCCGAAGCCAAGCTTTTGCATAAATGGAGAGGCAGGGATATTTACACATGGAGTTAAACATAGTACTAAATATCAGAAAGAAACAAAAAATTAGTCTTTGAAGAGACCACTACAAAAGCATCAAAACATTCTTAGGATACTGTTAAAAGACTATTAACTGATACAGTCTTTTTGGAGTGTGATTTGACAGCTATCTATTTCAATTTTAAATGGATACCCTTTAACCAAGTCTATTTTTGGAATTCTATCCTACAATAACTCTGAAGCAGAAATCAGGAAATTAACTGTTTTTTCATGGGGCACAAGCTAACAATTGTTCTTAACATTTTTTAAAGGTTGTTTAAAAATACATAAATAAATAACATACAACAAAACCCCTATTATGAACCTCAAGTTCAAACTATATTCTATCTGGCCTTTTACAAAGTTTTCTGACCATTACACACCAATCAGAGAATGTGCCCAAAGAGATCACATACACACATCAGGTGTACATACATGTGAATATTGGAATTTGCTTTTGAGACTGCAAAAACAAAAAAAAGCTTAAGTGATTATTAGAAGCACAATTATAGTACATATACTATCAAGCATTACAGTCATCAAGACGACAAAACAGAGGCATTCCACATCTGGTCACAAACAATTGCCTACTCTGAGAATTGCTATCTCATCAAGAACAAGAACCCTTGACAAGATACAAATGTTTTTATACACTTGACAACAGGCAGAGTAGGGTTGTGATCTGAGAGAAGAGAAGCAAATGAAGTGAGCCCTATCATTGCCTACTGATGCGTCAAGGCAGTAGTTTTCAAGCTGCAGCAGAGGAAACACAACCCAGCAGTCTTACCAAACTCAGGAAACAGAGATCAGAGGTCAAGGATCCCTAGGTGGCTAGAATTTGTGGGGCAAAGAACTAAAGAGGAAGGAGCTAAAAAACAGAAAGGTCCAAAGATTTGAAAAGATCTCCCACTGAGTGCTTGGCTAAGTACTCATCTGCACACAGAATAGGTAGGTGTCCCAAAGACAAGAAAGCAATAGGCTAAATAATTACCAGAAATCAGTCAAGTCTAGGAATGTTAACTTTACTCAGGAAGAATTTGGTATCCCTGTAACACAGAGAGTCTTGAGTAAAGTTCTCTGAAAGAATAACAACCTAGCAGTACTGCAAACTTTTAGGCCAAGGAAAAAAGTCTATGAAAGAGCTTAAAAATCAAGTCTCACAAGGAACATGTTGCTGTGCAGGTAAGTTAACTTCAGACCTTAACAAAACGCAGCAATCTTTAAAGGAAACAAGATTCAGCATTCGATATAAAGTAGCCATCATCTTATGAAAAGTTACTAGACATGAAAAAAGTAGGTATGATTCATAGCAGGATAAAAATAAACTGACAGAAACATACCACCAGATAACAGAAATGGTGTAATTAACAGATGAGAAATCTTAAAAACAGATACAAATTTTAGCAATATGCTCAGTGAGGCAAAGGAAAGTCTGAGCATAATGAGGAACAAAAAAGATGTAAAAAAACAGAAAAAATGTCCTTGTAGAATCTCAAAGAATGAAAAATACTATCGATAAAAATAACATCATCTTAGAGCAGAAGAATTTGAAAATATGTAGCAAAAACTACCAAAAATCAAGCATAGAGAAAAAAAGACTAGGAGGAAAAAAAATCATTGAGCTGTGGGACAATAACAAAACAGTAGACTTAATCCAACCACAGAGAATTCTACTAAATGTAAACGGCTGAACAGTGTTGCCCAATAAACTACGCCATGAGGAAAATGCTTTAAGCTTGTGCTGTCCAGTAGAGGCCACTACCCACAATGTTGTTACTAAGCATTTGAAGTATAGATAATACAAACAAAGAACTAAACTTGTAATTTTATTAAATTTTGAGTCATTTGAACCCAACTTTAAGCAATCACATGTGGCTAACGGAAAGAGCCTAATTAAAGGAGGTTGTCAGAATGGATAAAAACAAAACATACCATTTATAATAAACTCACTTTAAAAATACAGACACAACTAGAGTAAATGTAAAAGTTGGAAAACACAGAACATTCTAACAGTAATCAAAACAAAGCTCGTTACTCATTTGCACCACACAACGTGGGCTTCAGAACAAAGAGAATAAAGACATTTCATAATAGCCAAGGGATAAATTCATCAAACTAAGTAACTATCTTAAATATGTGCTGCACCTATAACAAAGCTTTAAAATAAATGAACTAAAAAGTGATAAAAATGAAGGGAAAAAACCCGACAAATTCCACAATTGCAGTTGGATGCCTCAATATTCCTCTCAGTAATAGAGTAATTACACAGAAAATCAGTACAGATGCAGAAGACTTGAATAAAACAACATAAACAGGTCAATACCCAGGAACAGAAGGAAAATATTCCAACCTGATAAAGGGCATCTGTGAAAAAACCTATCTCTAATGCACTAGCAGCAAGGCATGTCCACTAACACTTCTATTCAAGAATATACTGGAGCCAGTGTGATAAGGAAAGAAAAATAAATCATCTACATTGGGAAAAGCACTATCCTAAGCAATCTATTTAAAAAAAAAAAAAAAACTAATAGCATAAATGAGTTTAGCATGGATGCAGGATCCAAGATCAATATATAAAAATCTGTACACTAGTAATGAACAGCATAAGATTTTCTATGTTACTGTCTAGAAATTTTCTAATTTTAGCCATTTCTGTGTATGACGTAAGTTAAGGGTCAAGGTGTTTTGTTTTGTTTTGTTCATGGATATCTAACTGTTTTTTATTTTTTTTTTGGAGCACTGGTGTTTGAACTCAGAGCCTTGAAGGACTGAAGGACAGACTGCAGGAAGTCCCAAAAGGGCGATAAGTGGTCAAGGAGACACTTCTCCTCCCTAAGAAATGCCTGTTTGCATCTGAAAGGCATCTCCACCCTCAGGCAATGCAAATAGGCTATAAAACCCCACTCCCCACCCTGGCCCACAGTTTCGGGTCCCCCCTGCATTCTCAATATGCAGTCTTTCTCTTCTCTTTTCTCCAACTAAATTCTCTACAAATAAAATCTTTCCGACCTCTGCTGTTGGAGTCTGCCTGTGCTTTCATTCTCAAAGCAGGCTCAAGAACCCTGAGCATCTGAAATTCCTGCACGTGTCATCCGTGTATCATATTTGGCGACGCACAAAGGGACCAGCCTTCACCTGAGGTCAGTATAGGTTGTGCCAAACTGGGAAAGACTGCCTAGGAATGTGACCGTGAGCATCCAGCACTCCGGTGGAGTCTGTTTTCCAGGAGAGACCCCCCACCATGGCCTAGCTATGGTGGAACTCTCAGGTCGACCTTTTCTCCCTCTCTCTCTGTCTTGTTAAGGAGGGTTTCTTCCTTGGGAAACTGAGGAAAAGGTCTAAGCCCACTACAGCTGTACGGCAGGCAATCTGAGGAAACTCAGAGGCCGGGCAGGGGTTTGTACTGCACTGCCAATGCTACGTGGGCAGAACTCAACTTCAGTGCACCAAGGCTTTTTCTTTTTTCCTCTCCTTAAACACTAACACTCTCTTTCAAGATCTGACCAGCTTAAGGGGAGGTCCGAAAACAGCCAGTGGAAGGAAAGTTTGTTTTCAAGCCACAAGGTGTTCTGGCCGGGGCACTCCCTGGTGTCACCCAAAGGCTAGAGATGCAACTTCCTGACCCGCCCTGAGGCCCCAAAGGCGGCTAAGTCTTGGACCTCTCCAGCCATGTCCGTGGCAAACAGACAATCAGATCTCTCATGCTTTCTTCATGGTTTCCGTGGCCCGAGAGTGGAGGTCACCTCTTGCTTCCAGTGCTCCAGTACTGCCTTTGGGCAGGATCAACCTGGACAGCAGGGATGATCAATAATCCCTCATGGGCTGAGCCTGGAAACTCTTTTTCCCCAACCCTCAGCCTCTCCTTCCCCTTTCCCAGGCAGTTCAGGATGAGTGTCCCCGTCCCCGCCTTTGCTGTAAATAGCAGTGAGCTTCTTTCTTCAGGGAGTTTGGGAAAATCCCTACAGGCATCAGAAAGTGCTAGTCTCCAATTTAGGCTTAACTGTCTTTGTCAAGCATCAGATTAGTTAAACAGGTTCCGTAGCCTGCCCTCAGCAAAAGGAAAAAAAAAAACAGTTAAAAGGCAAAAAAACTCAGGTCTCCAGTTTTTTTTGCCCCTTACCAGAGCAAAAGCCTCCAGATGCTCTCTCTCCTTTCATAGAAAGCATATATGCCTCACAGGATATATAGGGAAACAAAAGTCTACTTCATCAAGAGTCCCCATCCATGCCTCTAAAGGGGTCCTCCTTCTGGCCATGCAAGCCCTCTTGGTTACTTTGATAGAGTTAATTTTTAATTACAAGCACTCAGCTGGCAGAGGAGAACTAGGCCTACTTGGGTCGCAGGGCAAACAGGCAAGTCAAAATAGATGAGAGATTGGTCAAAGATCATCTCAGGGGGGTGGGTGCAACTGAGATATCTATCTGTAAATCCTCAACTCGACCCATGAGTGGTAGTGGAAGGAGCAAGGGAGAGCGGGACGCCCTCTCCCACTAGAGTTTCTCCTCATCTGGGGACGCTTAGATAAAAGGAGAAACCTCTGTTAAGGTGACCAATTTTCCCTTGTTTCCCTTTTTAGATGGGAAATCAAGCCTCAAGGATGCAGGAAGGATCCCCCCTTGCCTGCTTATTAAAACATTGGAAAGATCTTGATCCAGATAGTCTTTAACAAAAGTGACTCAAGTTTTACTGCACCCAGGCTTGGCCACAGTATCCTCTGGGAGATGAGGAAAGATGGCCAGAAGGAGGCAGCATTAATTATAACACCACTCTTCAATTAGATATGTTCTGTAAAAAGGAGGGAAAGTGGACTGAAGTTCCATACGTTCAATTGTTCTTTTTCCTAAGAGACCACCCAGAATGGCTAAACAAATGCAGGCAAGATACCCAGACCATGGTAACCCTTTGCAAAAAGCCCCCAAACTCCCTTGAGCAAAAAAAACCCATCTAATGCTCCATCAGCTCCCCTCTTCCCCCTTACCCAGCTCCCTCACACACTAGACAC